GGTGTTTTATTAACCCCTCTTAACGCGCCAGTTGCGCCTTTTACGAGCTCCTTTGTTATACACCGGATTAACGAGATTGATCGATTAAATCAATAAATAGGTATAAATTTCATCCTGTAAAATAGCAAATCGATTGATAAGAAGGTTTTGCAGGAAAGCGTCGTTGAGTTTGAAAAAAAATTGCTCGAATGCGAGGGAAAGTCGAGACCGATTTCCTTCGCATTGCCCGAGTACAGGTTTCGTCTGCATAACACGATCGTGCTTGACGATCGCGTTCTTTCTTGCATCGAGATTGAATTCGTCGAGGTCGAGGCAACCCACACGTGCTGATCTAACCCCGATCGAAAGGGTCGTGACCTCTTCTTTTACCTCAACTATTTTCTCTACCCTTATTTATTTTCTCACTTCTTCCCTTTTACGTATCAGTTTCCATTTAACTTTTCTTCCATCAGACATTCAATGCTACATCAGACAACAATTAATTACTATTACAAGTTGTAATCCTGCCGTCGAAATTTTTAATTCTTCTCTACACTTCTGTACAACATATTTCTTTCTACACTTGTTCCATAAAGCTTGTTCTAAGGCTAGGTGAGAAAAAGGAAAGAATCACGTGGACAGGGACGATGATGACTTCTTAACGAATTAGAAGGTTACGCAAAGGGCGTTTACATCGAAATTAAAACTTTATTAAAAGCTTTTGCTGCTGGTCAGTCAAAGGAGTCCTTCGAGGAATACACTATGTTAGATCTGTGAACCCTGCACACCAGCCGAAAGTTAGAAACCATCGTCAAATTGAATGTGTCACACAGTTTCCCTAAAGTTCATTACGGAGTAGAGCAAGGGTTTCAACTCTAAAAGGGAAGTTTTAATTTATATTTCCCAGTTGAATATAAAAAGCAACTCTGTAAAAATTTAATCATATTACCTGTTCAATCTCCCTGAACCCATCCAATGAAATTGTAAAAAATGAGCGCATAGCATCGAAAAGGAAATGAAAAACATCTGGTGATAGCTATTACAGCCTTAATAAAGGTAAATCATGTGACTCGAAAAGAGAACGGATCAACTACAATCAGGATAATTCTCGTAAGTGTTGGCTCTGAATAAAGTAAGAATAAGAGAAATTAGAATTTTTCTCATCGTGGTAAGGGGTATTGATTCGAAGACAGTAATTTCGGTGAGAAAAAAAGGCGACGCTTTCGTTGTTTTCAACGAAACTTGACCGGAAACTTCCTGGGGGAACGTTAAACTGGATCATAATTGAGAATAGTTTAGTAATTAAATTGAGATTATCAAATTACCGTTTCTGTGACCTGAATAACGTTTGCGATGCTCTCGAAAATTCCGATCCACCAACCAAGATGGATGAAAAATTCGTTCAATCCCGATTTCTTCATCATTCTACTTATTTAAAGATCGAATTTAATTCTAATCCAAGTTATTGAAAGCTACGCCCACCGAAGCGACCACTAATTAAAACGTAGTCAATGACACGATCGAGAAACGACCACCAACAGAGAAGTCTCGACCATTCGATCGACCTCCTAATTTTTCTCACTCCTCTCTAAGAATCAGTTTTCAAAGATGTCGAGAGTTTCGATTTTCGATTAAATTTCAAGCTGACAATTGACGGTGAAGAAAATTAAAATTCAAAGACGTGCTTTTCACTCTAGATTACAGAATAATATTCGAAAAATGAAGTACAAGTTGGTTCAATTTCAAAAAAATTCCACGTGGCATTTGGAGGGTAGATAGGCAATAGATTGATGAGAGGAGAGTGTGTGGTATAGTGGCAATTAGCAGGAGCCTGGCCACCACATTTGTCCTCGTTACCGAGGATATTAAGTAATAAGAAAGAATAAAGATCCTGGCCCCCGACGATATTACCTCCTACGTGACCGTCGCTATCCCCTTGGCTCGTTTTCGTCCATCTGATATACGGCAACGGGCTAAACGAGAAATAATTGCTAGCCACCGTTAAAAAATTCCTTACAATTGTTAACAATAATCTTTACATGTACCTTCTATTTATTATACCTACTACACTATTAATAAAAACGGCTTAATTTCACTGTTGGAAGAAAGAGAACAGCTCGCGTTCTGCGAGATGATCTGGAAATTGAATTATAAATTGCGCTCGGTTTCGCAACCGTAATAAAGAGAGACCGAGATGCTCCGAATGCATTATCTAATTGCTAACTTTCAACGAATTAAGTCGACCCCACTAACGAACATTTCATCCGAAACATTGAGAATTGGGTGAACGCGATTGCACCGACCTATTTAATATTTCTATGTACGTTATTAATTCATTCATTAATTAGCAAATGCTGAAAACCCGCGGTTTAACTCGTTCAGATTTGGAAAATCAACTAGTCCTTCGATCATCGTAAAGAAGGAATATTGACGTTATTTCATTTTTATTTATAAGCTTTCTGATAAAAGAAAGTACATGTTATGGTATGTTACGGTGTACGATACGACACATACGATACATTTTTTATCCTACTCGTCTCTTGCCAGTCACCTTCAATCTTGATCAAGACTTTTACGAGCCAACAAATTCGTTGAACGAAGACAAAAGGGAAGAAGAAGAAGAAGAAGAAGAATCTTCTGCTCTCCCCATAAATTGAACGTTTAACCGAATATGCAGGTTATTATATTATTTACGAGATTACCAGATTCAAGATGCTTTCCAAAACATATGCCACCTAAGTAGTTTAGCTAGTTGCTCAACTGACGGACGCGTTTCACCACCAACATTCTGTGTGAAACTTTAAGCGATTTATCGCCGTGTGCGATTGAAACTTGTCAAATGAATCATTCCTGAAAAGCTAAAGAGACACCTGGTACATAATATATATTCAGGACACGAAGGCACCGACTCTAATTGATACAACCAGATAAAAGGTCGAGAAAGGATAGGGAAAGGAGTTCTGAAATTTCCCTTTCGTCCGAGCCGAAAATTCTTTCACGTCTGACGGATTCATAATGTCTTGGAATTCAATTCTTTCAAAGTTCTCTATGTACGTGGTACGTGCGTGTGGGGGGGTTCAAACTGGCATAAAAGACGGAAAGGGAATGGCCGACCCAATAGTTAGAGAAAATAATACGATAATAAACCCTTTACCCCATTACGAGCTACTCAACTTTGCAATTTTCTTCACTCATCGTCAAAGTAACAAACAAGTTTAATTAACAAATGAAAAGTTTTAAATATCACTTACAATTAAAAGGCGAGACTACAAACCCATCATCGTCTGTTAACCTCTTGACATCTTTTCAAAGTCGTTATAACAACTTGAGTGAGGTATCATTTAACTGCGAAACAAAACAAAAGAAAACGAACGGTCAAAACATTGCGATTGCGATGCACCTTTAGAAATGATAGAAAAAATTAAAATAAAGAATACCATTGGTATGGAAGCTATTTATTCTTCACTTATAAATCATATATAAATAAGAGCTTCAATTTCACTATTTACACGCTAGAATTAAAAAAAGTCTTTTTTCAGGATTTTCGATACAATGACTGAAAAGAACTCGTCGACATCTTACTCTCATAACCGTGCAATGACAAGCGTTAATGGCCAGCATTAACGACAGCAACTCCGACTCCGATCGACCAATTATTAAAGACCAATCGTACACTCTTTGAAACTGCCACTTTCAATGTATGTAGGTATTTACTTATTTATCGCACGTTCAAGATTCTATAGACGATAACATTTTCTCCAATTCTCGTAAAAGTTGCGCAATGTGTTCTATTAACGTTAAACCGGTCATTGTGACTGGTCGTAATGTTTTACTATAACACTGTTTGTACAAGCTGGCCAGCGTTTCAGACCTGAAATATGTAAATACATTATGTATACCAATTCTGTGTATGTGTAACATCATTTACAAACGAATACGTACTCTTTCTTATTACTGTTCTTGCTAACAAATAATTTCGTTAGAGATCGCAAGATAAATTGTAATCTCTGTTCAAGTAACACCACTAAACGTTCTTCGTCTTCTATCAACTTTTCTTCCTCGCTTCCTTTTCCTTCCTCGAGGATATCTTTCGTTACTTTGTTCCTGACAGCATTTCTTCTACATTCTATCTTCTGTTTCTGACTACTGTTGTTTTTATCACACAATATATCCATAATAGGTCTACATTGTAATATTAATTCCAGACCGTTTTGGTATGCTTTCAATTTCCCATTAAAGGTTGTTGCGCCTAAATAAAGAACATTGTATGGTTACATGAATTTATAACGATAAAAATTATATTATTAAGTCAAGAAAGGAAATGCATACAACGTGCTTGATGTTCAGCTAAAGCAACCCTTTCCATTTGTACGGTTAGAAATTCTGTAGGTTGCTCTAAAGCTAACAACAACTTTGCAGCCTTATCATAATACAACTTGCACAATTGTAAACTTGTTTTCCTTTTAATGTTATCCGTGTCCGGTTCGTATTCTCTGTAAACACGATGGTACAGAGATGCGAGACGATGTTGAATAGTTGCCGCACGAAATTGATATACTGGTTGCCGTGGTCCAGGTGTTTCGATATCGCAATGTTTCAGAGCTTTTTGTAAAATATCGACGACTTCGCGTTCCAATTCTTCCTCTGTCTAAAAAACAAACGAAACGAAACGAATCGAAACAAATCATCAAATTTATCTGAAATTATCGTAATATAAAAAAGGTTAACAGACATACTTTGCATCCACCCGTTGGATAATCCTGTAACAAGGTAGCCATAGTAAACAAAGTAGTAGACAGGTCCCATGTAATGGTATCCCAAATCATAGGATTTCTCTTTCTACAACCTAAAACTTGCAACGCTTTTTGATAACTCGCAAGTGCTTTATTATAGAAATTACGTTCTTGGCTGTTTTCTTTTACATGCATGTGTGCGCAAAGTCGCATAAGTCTTCCTGTATTTGAGTGTAAAAGTGCTAAATTTACTTCATCGTGAACCGTTTCAAAAGCTTTCACACCCGCTTCTAAATGAGTTAATGAACGAGCAAGCAACGCTGTTACACCAGCAGATGATTCTGTTTCTTCTGATGCGTTTTCTTGCTGATAACGTGCTGAAATAAATAATAACACGTTACCCATACACGTCTGTATTACGTGTTCGGCTATGGATGGGCATAGTTTCTCAATTATTAATGAAAAACACCGACCGTGCCGAGTTTGTTCGCAGCCACCAAGTCGAGACGGGTTCTCTGATTCGGTGCTATTTTTCATTAATAATTCAAAAAATCAGCCTTAACGAGGATGCCCACCCATATTAGCATACGTAATTGTTTAACATTCTATATTAAAAAAAAAAAACAAATATGAAACATCTATGTACTTACTTCCAGCTTGATTCATGTAAAGCACACCTAATTCGTTATGAATGTTTCCTAAACGTCTTAAAAGATTTTTTTTATCCATTTCCAATGGTTCTAATGATAAGGCTTTTTCGTAACATTTGTAAGACGCTACTAAAGTAAATTCCAAACTCTCTAAACGTTGAGGCAGCAATTCAGCACCATCTGTAACGAGGAATACTTAATATAGAAAAAAAACAATTTTCCCTTACCCATTTTTTATTTTTATCATCATCAAAGAACATACTCACTCATATCTAAATCTTCCATACTACATATTTCTTCGACGATCCTTTCTTCGATCCCATTCTTCGTTTCATAATCCTTTCTGTGTTTTTCAACGTTACACCAATCTTGTACAGCCATAAAGCAACAATCTCCCGCTCGACCTAATAAATAACTGATCGACTTGTCATTTCTTATACCACAAAAGATCTCCAATATCTTCTGACAGCGTAATACTGCTAACATATATCTCAGTGACGCCCCATAATTTCTATTCGCGTATTCATGTTCCGCGAGTACAGCGAAGATTAACGAAGCTTTCTCATATAATAGTGTCTTCAAGTGAGCATTCCAACTGATGTTATCGCTTTTTTTAGGCGCCTGCCACGTAGGTAAAGTTTCGGCCTTAAGCTTACATAACAGTGCTTTCGGTTCATTTTCTATCGTTTCTTCTTTCGTTATAACTTTCTCACCCTTTTTACCCTTTTTTTGTTTCAACTTCTTCTTATGAGTAGGACTAGTATTTATCGAATTTTCCTCTCTTTCAACCTCCTTTTCCTTTTCCTTTTCCTTTTCCTTTTCCTTCAAGGATGTATAAGGCATGGGAATTGCCTCAAATGGTTTTGCCATATTTAAATGACTTTCTTCATACTGTTTCTTCACCTTTTCCTGTACCTCTGCTTCTTTTTCTTCCTCTTCGGTGTTGTCATTGGTCGGAAAGTATTGTAAACATTCGAGTCCGTAACAGACGTGTTCTAAAGCAGCTAAACATCGTTCTTTAATTGTGCCGGAAATCGGTGGTGGTTTGTATTTCGGTTCCTCGCATTCTGCATGTTCCTTGACTAAAAGGTTCCAAACATTTCTTTTTACAAATACAGAGTTATTTGAAAGGGGGGGAGAAAAAAGACACATACATATATGTATAACTTACTATTAGCTAATGTCAAAGATTTTATTGCATCCGTTTCGTTTTCTTCTTCCTCATCCTTTTCGCTTTCATGAAATGCACTAGATTCGCTCTGAGTATCTTCTTCGTCGCTCTGATCGGACAATCCAGGACTAACTGGATCTGTATCCGATGGTATGTAAAGATCGGACAACATAAAATGTGCCGATGTCACAATTTGAGGATACTTTTCTTTAGTTAACAATTGTATGCAGTTCTTTAATAGCATTCTAATGGTACCCTGTTGTCTATGATAATCGGAAGAATACTTCATGTTACGAGCTACCCTATACAGTAGCATAGCAACAGGTACAGTAAATGGATTTTGACCCTTCTCATCTGATACATCGTGACACAAAGACGTTAAATCATACAATTTTACCACCTCATCGTCCTTGCCTAATCAATATAATATAAGATTAGAAACTCTTATATTGTGCGTTAGAAAATTTCTCACTCTTATATGTATACATACGTATAATTACCTTTAAACAACCAATAAGTATGTCCAGCTTTGGTTGCATTATTTTTCAAAAAACTTAAAATATTTTGAGCAACATCTCTGATAACTTTCGGACTGAATTTAGAATGATCTAAATTAGGAAGATCTTCCGTCTTTATTAATTCATATTTTTGCACGATACCATCCAAATGATAACACATCACCACTTCTGGGACATTACACATCAAGTTATCCAGCCAGTAATCTATACCGGTTAAAACATTAATGGGTTTGGTCATATCTCTTAATCTCAGACTTATACAAGGGTGTGTTAGCCCTCCAAATATTGGCATATCGGTACCAATAAGCATCTGTATATTTTCAAAAGTCCACACAATGTTTCTTGCAAAATTGTGATTATAATTTGGGTCTGGCACTTTTTCTTCTTGCGTAGGTTCTGGTAAACAAGGTTCTAATGTTTTCACAGGCAACTGTGGTTTCACGTGTTGTTCTTTCTCATCTGCTACTACTATGGAGCGATACAAAAACTTGGATACCAAGTTTTTTTGTTGTAAAGTATTTCTACTACTTGTCTTGTGAAACAGACGTTTCTCTTTATCCCCTAGATTTTGGAAAATGTGCTCGTAAAAAAATTTTTTCAGCCATTCCCAATCGCTTTCCGCTTGTCTAAGCAAATACTTATGAATATCAAAATCATCCAATAGTAAAGTATTTTCAATTCTATGAACCACCATGGATATTATTCCATGATTGTAAGGTAGCTTCAGCAATTTCTTTATATTTTCTGCATCAGATACCACGTCAACTTCCCCGACACAATCAGGAAACATATGTGCCATACGAAAACTGGAAAATCCAGAAGTCTGAGACCAAACGCTCTGCAATCCATAACTCTCTGCAGAGCTACTTAACCAATTGCTTGGAGGTAAATTTAAATCTGTATTACATTGTAATTGAGCATAAGTTGCTGGTGTCTGAACAGTTGAATATTTTACAACTGCTGTAGACTTGACCGGTTTCTTGGGTGAATCGGCTGGTACAGCCACAGACATAGGGTTGACCTAAAACCAAAATTGTTGAAAACTGGATATGGCGTTTGTAACTATACATATATGAATCACTAATATATGTACATATACGTATATATGTATATATAGTTTTTATGTTTACCAAATACTACTGTTACGATCAAGCTTTTCATAGAATAACAATGTCCAGATAAAGTATACAATATCGCTAGGCGAAGAAACGCTACTTACGATATCAACTTTACTATCCGAACTTTCTGACATGTTTAACTTGTCGTGCACGATGTCGACGTCGTTGTCGTTATTCGCGCGTCTCTCAAAACTTGTCGCTATGTCCAAAAACTTCTAGAACGAACCAGAGTGTACGAACCAATTCCTATTCACATAATAACGTATCTATCCAAATTCTTCAAGCGCCACCTCAGTTATTGCATCCAACTAACGACATGCTATGACTACTATGGGGTGTCAGGGACCCCGAACCTAAGATGTGCGACCCATAGCCTTTTTACATATAGGAAAATTGAAACCTCTGTAACTTTTGACAAACGTAACGGTTTTGAAGTCTCAGCGTCTCAGCGAAACCTTTGTAACAACGTATAAAGCGTATCTCTAACCTGAGTAGTTCTCATATTAAGAAATAAAGAAAAGATTGGTGTATATATATACATATATGTATACCGCAGTTCACCAGAGTCCATAACTGCGACGCGCAGGTTGGAAGATGGTGGGGGAACGCAGCGAGCTCTCCGCCAATCGCTTTCCACTTCGTTTGGGGGTATCGCCAATCAGGGCGAAGATGCGCACTGGAGAAGCGCGAAGAACGAAAACTGGTCTTTTCGCAGTTATGGACTCTGGTACAAGTACAAGTTTGGTTATACATATGAAAATATGCGAAAGTAAACTAAATGGGTTCAAATTGACGGAAATTGATGAAAGGATGTAAATACTTATATACGTATATATGTTACATACATGCGCATGTGTACATATATAGCATATATAGATACATGTGTGTGTGTAATACAAGGTATATATTTGTATTATAAAGTGCAGCAAGCACATAAGGTCGTGTGCTAATGCACACTGTATTACGTAACATCTCAGGTTTTGAACGATTAAATCGTGATTGCCCTGAATGCTGTATCCATGATTTTTATTCCAAGGTGTGTATGCACATTTTTTACGATAGCAGTAACAACTTCTATATGTTATATAGTGTAAATTAAAAATACTCGTACGATTTAAATTAAGATAATCTGTAATGTACGCGCATGTACGCGTAAAAATGAAATGATACAGTTGAACGATGTTACAAATGCAAGACAATGAGGAATTCAAACTCGTAATACATCGAAAGAAACGGACATCTTTTGCTCGAAAAAGTTGCGATTCAACAGTTACATTACCTGTTGATAATGATGATGATGTTAATGATGATGATGAGGACAATGGTAGTAACTTTAATATCAATTATGAGACACATTTTGGGTAAGGCATTGCATATTCCCCGAAAGCGTGTATATGGAAATTTTCTTCAATGATTTTACAATCATTTTCAGAATGATTATTGAAGCAGAAGTCGAATTGAAAAATTCATTGTTTGCTGACAATGTTTTCTATTCTTTGGGAGATTCGTTGAATGCCTTAAGACTGGATGGTATTTCTGAAATATTGTGTTACGGTTTGGGACATTTCTCTTCCTGTCGATCTTCAAAATATCAATTGGCATTACTCCTGTCGTTAAAAAAATATTATAATTCTAGAGTTTATGTATACGACCCAGTCTTTTATTCCCACGAAATTGAACTCCTGAAGCGGTTTGATTGTAACATTATAGAAATCAATGAAGAAGGCAAACGAATTATACAGGACAGCGTGACGTTGATATACATGCCGCATTGTTCCATCTATTTAACTAATAATTTTCTTTACACAAATTGGAGCAAAAGATTAAACAAGTGTATTCTGTTGACAAATAGTTTTTCTATCGTGACGGATAATCTAACAAAGGCAAATAAATCTGTTTCCTTAGATTATGTGTTGCGTATTCGACCGTATGTTACAGAAATTCCTTTAAGAAATAATTTTATATACAAGGACGTGTTCAGCGACCTAAATATTCATATATTTCTTGAAGAAAACATCAACGCAATTCCTCAAAGTTTTTGGAATAAAAGGGACGAACCGTGTTACCGAGGTGCAGAGATTCATTACTTGACTGCTAAACAAACGGAACGAATAGATGCTAAAAATTGTAATTATCTGTTTTTAACTTACCACTATGTAACTGTGCGAACAGTAAATATTCCGTTATAGAATAGAAAGGAAATAGGAACTTGTACGATGAATTATGTTTCACTGTGATATACTAATTAAAGAGGATACCGAAAATTTAATTTTCAACTGGTAATCAATTCTGTTACAGGTTGTACGGAAGATGAAACCTAACGCAAAATTAGTTCGCTCGCTGATACAAGAGATTCGACGAGTGTCTTCCGACCGAAGCGCGAAGAACAATACAATGGTGCAATACATTTTGGAACAAGCCCGATCTCACCGAGAAACTTCAGAAATTTTATGCAAAGCACGAGAAGAGTTGAAAAATTTAGCAGAGACGTACTTGTGTTATTTGAATTCTCAGAGAATGTGTAAAGAAATTCAAGTTCGCTATACTGGTAAAGGTGAACGAAGTATCAGAGAAACTGCCGATCTTGTTGGATTTAAATTACCCCATGATCCGAAATAATTTCGCTTTGAAATGATTAGCAAGAAGAAAAAGAATTAAGAAAAAAAAAATGAAAAGATAGGAAGTAAAAAAGAAAGAGAATGCTTGTAGAAAAGAAAAGAGACAATTTCAAATATTAAAAGTACAAATAAATTTTTCTTCCTGATAACGATGTATTTATGTATATTCCTTACGGATGCACTTGGCTATAGTCGATAGCTGCATGTTACTAGTTCCTTCGTAAATCGTACCGATTTTAGAATCTCTGAAATACTTTTCTTGAGGAAAATCGGTCGTAAATCCTACTCCGCCCATAAAATCGATGCATTTTGCGGTGACACGTAATGCAGTTTCTTCGTAAAAGAAATGAAAATAAATTTATTCGAGTTGCATAGGTAATTATCGATATTTGTGGAAAAAAATTTCTTTACCTGAAGCTACAAGTTTAGCCATAGCAGCTTCCTTCACCATATCTCTTTTAGCATCGACTAATCTGGCTGCGTTGTAAACTAATAATCTAGCACATTCGAGCTCGGTGACCACTTGGGCAATTTGGTGTTGCATCGACTATCGAGAAAGAAAATATGATGTTGTCAAGTTCGTGTCGTTTAGAAAGAAAACAGGTGGATTAAAATGATTTGTTGTTTTTTTTTTTATCATACTTGAAAGGAAAATATATCCTTTCCAAATTGCTTTCTTTCCAACGTGTAAGGTATGGTAGCATCCAAACAACCCTGTGCTATACCAATCATTTGTGCTCCAATACCGATTCGACCTTCGTTTAAAAATCCAGCGGCATATTTGTATCCATGACCAAACTGTCCCAAGATATTATTTTCAGGAACCTAAGACAAGCGTATTTCAAAAATAGTTTCTAATAATTATTTAAAAAAATCATTGCGGTTACTTTAACATTGTCAAAGTGGACCATGCATGTCCCCGACGCTTTTATTCCTAATTTATCCTCAGGTTTGGCGATTGTTAATCCTGGCGTGTCTCGTTCTACGAAAAATGTCGTGATACCTCGATACCCCTAATAACATAAATGTAATAACAGTTACATGTGTTTAATAATTGAATTTCTAAAAGTTACAATGTTGGACTTACAGCAGAGGGATTTGCATTAGCAAAAACTAAAAATAATCCCGCGATGTCAGAATTTGAAATCCACATTTTGGTGCCGTTTATCACATAGTTTGATCCTTCCTTTTTTGCTTGAGTTTTCAAAGAAAAAGCATCCGATCCGGAACCGGGTTCCGTAAGACAAAAGCTACCCGCCTAATGGCCGGCCGGTTAGATGAAACGATATAAATACATATTCTACATGGTGATTTATCAAGTAACTTGTTTACGAATTTCATTACTTACGTAATCTTGAGCTAATCTTGGTAAGTATTTTGCTTTTTGTTCTTCCGATGCTACTTTTTTTATCAACGAGTTCACCAAAGTATTATGAATATCTACCAAAGCTGAGACTGCCCCGTCAACCTTTGCCACTTCTTCGACCGTCAAAATCGTTGTCATGAAATTGCATCCCGAACCACCGTACTCTTCTGGTATTTCGATACCCATTAACTGATCGACGATCGGTGGTTGTTCGAAAACATGTTTCAAAATACACGTTATTTCGTAAGTACGTAATTGAAGATCAACGTCGATTACTCTGACTGTTTACTTACACCATTTTCGAAAAGCTTTCGTAGCAAGCCTTCGTCTATTTTCCCTTCCTTTTCCATTTTTCGCACAAGTGGAAGGATTTCCTCTTTTGCTAATTTACTAACTAAAAAGTCGTGATTTTACGTATATCGGTAATATTGAAATAAATTTAAAAAATAGATGTATTGTCTTGAAATAAGGGAAATATATGTTAGTTATTTCGAGGCAATACTGTACACAACAATGGCATAACTACCGCTTTCTTTCATTAGTAGTTCATCGTCAGTAAATTGGGATAAAGGTCCAGGAGAGTGACCGAGCCGCGATGCACACGTACTCAGTTGCCTTTCGACGCAGATCTTTCGAGGTATCTGGAAAGAAGAAGGTAAAAATCGATTATTTTTCATCAATCGTATTGTTGAAATTGAAAGAATTTCAAATTGGTGTTATCGCTTCAACCATTTTATATAACTAGTCAAGCTTGTATGAAACTGATCGTGTTGGTGATATGAAATTATATGAGAAGAATATCGAGGATCGTAATATGTAGTCGGGTCGCTTTGAACTCGAACGATGATGCCAATGAAATTTTAACGCTTGTATGTCAAATCGTTGAAAGGAACAATTTTACGTAATATTTACGTTATGTTTACGAGTAAATCATTACGCACGCAGCTATTAATTTGATAGAAACGTTGCGCGTTGATTATGAAAACTTGATGTATGGTACGTACTTGTCGTATCAATGGTTTAAGCATATTTCCTTTCAGTTTAAGATTCATATTTAAACGTACGAATAACTAAGCGATTCCGATTAGAAGTAGAAATAGAAATAGAAACTTTAACTAATACCGCACATGGGACGAATGATAACACAATAAAGAAAGGAGAGAAATTGGTGTCGTCTGATCACGAACCGATATAATACTGACTACTTTGTAATATCGTATACATTTGGGTTCTCGCTTGAAACTCAGTTCGCGGTTGATTATGTACATACAAGCATCAAACAGGTTCTTACGTAATGATAAAAGAAGAGAGAGAAGAAGGAAAATAAAAGTTAAAAAACGAGTAGTTATTGGTTGATCAAAGCAATTTCAATAACTCATCGATTTATTATTATATCGACCATTTTAATCTGTTTATACGCATACATACATACGCATAAGAGATACGTATGTATGTATATTCCATACTGATTCCCTTATCTATTTTATAACACAAATACTTTTAACTGCAATTACTTGAAAGCGTGTAACATCCCACGAACTGTTTAATTTAAGAATTATTGTATTATTTTTTTCGTTTAAGATAATTCAAATAATTTTGTAATAAATTATGATAGGTATAGTCTAGATAGCGTTCATGTTTGCGTTAAAAAAAAAGGATGGGAGAAGCAATATGTAATAACAATCATAGCTTCGCTATGAAGCTTCTTTCGATAACAAAGTATCATTCAAAATCAAAATGTTGTTTCGAAGATAATGAAAAAGAAAAATCAATTCGTAGACGAAAAGTTCTTGCTAGATATTTCTATATATGTAAATACATACATATACATATTAATTTTTTCCACTGGTCAAAGCATACACACTCATTATCAGATAATCATTGGTGGACTTGTTTTCGTTTATTTTCGTTATTTCAAATTTCATATTACAAAATAAGAAACATGAAAAAACTTGCTTGTAAGAAATTTTCGATTAGTCGCAAAATATCGATTTTCCATGATTACCAACTGATGAAAATCCAAACTTTTGATTGGATACGCGGTTAAGAGATAACCAATCGGCTGATACGGTTTCGAGAATCGATCTCTCGTTGAATTGCTAGGAAAATCTGGTGAATTAGTTGCGCACTAGTATACTGCGCACAACCTACGTGCTTGCTATAGGCTATAGCATCGTATAGTTTAGTATCTATGTATATGTATAGTATGATAAAAACGAAGAAATTTATCGTTAGTAAAGGAGAAAATCAAGAGGACATTGATATATAATAGAGTTGCGTAACATTACGAAATTATAATTTATCGTCTACGATCGTTTGTCTGAATCTTTGATAGTGAAAAAGGTAAAGTAGGAAAAACCTGATTGTCGTAAATAAGGATCGTGAGGATCGCAAGAAAATATAGGTTAAAAACTGTGAATACACGAGGCGGACGATTAAGGTGAAGGAAGATGCATAGTTAAAGGCGCGTAAAGCGTACAGCGTACATACATACATACATACATACATACATACATACAGCGACAGGTATAGTGGAGTAGAGAATATTGGTGGAGGTGGAGGTGGAAGTGGAAGTGGAAGTGGAAGTGGAAGTGGTAGGAGCAGCGGTACTGGTTGGCAGTGTGAAAGAACGAAGAGGTGGAGAAGGCTTGGGGAAGGTTTACTAGCCGCCGGAAGAGCATCAACGGCGACGGGGGCGGGGAAGCTGTCCACCGAACGGAACGACCGCTCGGTGATACGAACGACGAGTCGAACGGTTCCCCGAACAGCCACGGATATATAACAACTTTCTACGATAGCTGGCGATTTTGTGCTAGGTAAGTTTTTACAAGCCACAACGATAAATATGTAGCGAGAAAAATCGTTTGGAAATTTGCGATACTATTTCAGTTGCGAGAGGATCGCGTTCTTCCAAATAATTGACAGGAATGACGTAGCGTTAAGGGGTGTGTCGTCGATTAGGAGGCGGCAATCTCCGATGCTTTCGTACGCGTCAGTGCTTTCGGATAATACTTAATCCTTGATTGCTATCAGTATCGTTTTCGTTAATCTTCAAACGTCCGATGAAAGTATTTCGATAGCCAGTATCAAAAATATTCGTCATAATCGCGCCATTAAAAACCATTACACTCTACCGCTGTATCGCCATTTGCATTGTTAAACCATTGACCCTCTTTTCTTTCTGATTTTTCCATTAAGGAACAATCTTTCCTTTTATTTTTTCGTTCCATATGAAAGTTTCAGTCAAGATGTTTGAGGAAGTTGCACGATTTCAGTTATTCCAGCGTTACCGCAATATTTCCTAAAACCTGCGTATAAATTGACGAACGAATCGGATCGTTGGTCACTTTGAACTTTCATAGTGAAAGAAATAGCGTATTCATATTTACACGCGAATAGTGTATAGCGGTGAGCAGTTATCGCGTCGAGAAGTAGTCAACGATTCGTATTCATTTTTTTATTCGCCAGCGCGTTTAATCGATCTGTTAACTGTTAAGGCATCAAAATGTATCACAATGGCGAAGCTGGTTAAAGTACGACTAAAATAAAAGTTGATTCTGTTTCGTAACCTTAAATTAGTGTATTTACGTGCGTGCTCATTTCTGTACAACACTTTTACGTTTCTTGATTTTTTTTTTCCGAGATCTATCGATACGTTATAAAGTCGTCATTTGGGCGTATTCGAACGAATAATCGTACACCGAGTTCGTCTCAGCGTCCTTATGATCAATACTATTTTGTAGACCGAATGGTTGTAAGCTACATATATTATGAACGCGTTAGGCGTGTCTAATGAAGCCAAGCAATTGGTATTGCTTTTCGTGCAAACGATGTCATTTAAATGTCACGAACGTAGAAAGTTAATGCATATTTCGGAATCACGAAGAACGTTTCTTTTTCTCGTAACAAGCAAGAACCGCCCGCGCGCAATCTATCGTCGCTTGGAAATAAACTGGTTGCTCTCGGGTTTCGACTCTATAGAAGGCACGCTCACCTGTGTGTTCTTTTGTGTGTCGCTTTATCTATTTGGTTTTTTTTTTTTTTTTTTCATCAATCTCCTTGATTTACCGATGCATCATCGAACGATTCGTTGCAACAGTTTTATTTGAAAGTACATATCTATTGTTTTATATTTCATATTCTTTTAGGATAAATGTATATAGAATGCGATTAACTCGTATTAACAAGGCACGGTACCGCCCAAGGAACGAACGAAAGAACGAACGAACGAACGAACGAACGATTGTGAGCTTTACGTTTTAAGTTATGACATCATCATCGTGTCGAGAATCAGCGGACGCGCCGCATTAAGTGTCTCGCGCGCAATGTACATACATATATGTATCTATTATCTACATATATATTCGCTATCTTGCTATTTCGATACGTTATCCACTCTTCTCGTGTAATTAGTGTTTTAATAAGAGAAACATACATTGTGTGCGCAGTGATAAAGACGCTGATGCAGTTTCGAGTATGAAATCGGTTTTCTATGGTTTGCCTCTTTTTTAATTTAGAATTCACGGAAGTTATGAATTTGGGTTAAGCATACGCTTCCGAATTAAGAGCCGTTAGAAGAGATTATCACCGACGCTAACGTGTCGGCGTCGAGTGTTTAACAGAGTATTTCTCACTTTGTCTATTTATTTATTTCTGCGTAAAGTATAAAAGTCCGGTGTTTATGTGTCTGATAGAATACTTTTAGATAATGGTAAAACATTGAGTTCAATTGATTAAACACATTTATTGTTATCCGTGCGTACTTGGATGGATATACCTTTGTGCTCGTAATCGGTGTAGAAACTCGTAAGAAATGAAAGGAAGAGGACGAGAACGTAGTAGAAGAAACATAGGACAAAATGAGAGCACGGTATAAATAAGCATAGGAAGAATTTGAAAAAAGACAAGTACGATTTCCGTCGCTCTACGGATTCTTCTTACTTACAATATACTCACCCCTGCTGTCTAACGCAATCGACGCGTGTTACCTGCAATTTTATCGATCGTATGCTGACATTTCTTCCTTTTTTCGTATCGTGTTTCTTATCTTTCGTGTTAAAAAGTCAGACCCGGTAGACGAGGGTAACTAAATACTTTTACGTAAAGACAATAATAATGAAATCCTGTAATACGTGTTTAATTGATCTAAAACAAATTGTTTCAGTCAACGTCCAACGTTGGGGTTGGAAGGCGAGGAGGGAGGTGGTGGTGGTGGCGGCGGCGGCGGCGGTGGCGGTGGCGAAGGTGGAGGTGGAGGCGGTAGTGGTGGCGGCGGCGACGACGACGACGACGACGGCGGCGGTGGTGGAAGCGTTGGCAACGACGACGGCGGCGGTAATTCCGATGGTGGCATCGACAACAGTGTTGTTGTTGTTGTTGTTGTTGGTGGTGGTGGTGGTGTAGTTGTGACAGTGACGGTGGTGGTGTGCTGAAAGAGCTAAGCAAAAGAAAAGAACGATAGGAAATATACAATATAGGTATAATAAAATAGAAGAGAGTTTGGTGAAGAAGGAAGCAAAGAACGGTAAAGCGGGTGTCGAAGATGGCAGATACAAGTCCGCAACCAGTGTTGTCTGAACCACACACGAATGGTGTGATGGACGGTTTAACGGAAGAAGAAAAAAGTAAGATGCGACCCGCCGACATTGATGCGGTAAGATATGAAAGATAAGGAAAGGAAGAAAAAGTAAAACTAGGTATGCGTGTATTCATGCGTTGTAAAATATATTTTCTAACCCTTTTATGCAGGATATGAGAGAAATGGAGAGGAGGAAAAGGGTCGAAATGATGATGAATTCACGATTGTTTCGGGAGGAGTTGGAACGCATCATTGAAACGCAAATGAAAGACGGTGCTGGACCATCGGGTCTGCTACAGCAAATCTCAGACATGATGGGTGGTGCGCAAGGTGCTCGGTTTAATGGGAACGTATTTAAAAGTAAGCCTAACGAGTTAAAATTATTTTCAAGGTATTTCGTTAAACGATAATCCTCTCTAATTGTAAATAATATTTTGTTATAGATTCAAACTGCGTATTACCGATCAACGATATACGCGGTGTCGAAAGCATGGGTTACGCGAAAGGAGAGAAGCTATTGCGTTGTAAATTGGCTGCGGTATTCCGATTATTGGATCTGTACGGTTGGACTCAAGGTGTCGGTGGACAAATTACGGCGCGTCTGAATCAAGATCAAGAACATTTTTTAGTTAATCCGTACGGCTTGCTCTACCACGAAATCACTGCCTCGAGTTTGATCAAGGTCGATATGCAGGGATCGATCGTCGAGCAGGGAACGACCAATTTTGGGGTTCACGTGGCAGGATTTCAATTGCACTCGACGATTCATGCCGCAAGACCTGATATCAAATGCATCGTTCATATTACTACTCCGTCCGTTACCGCCGTAAGTACATAGAAGAAAGCTGATCTTTCTTTCCTATCATTTTTTATACAATATTTCTTCTTGGTATAGATCTCATCGTTAAAATGCGGATTGTTGCCGATCGGACAAGAGAGTATAGTAATAGGAGATGTAAGCACGCATCAGTATATAGGTGGATCTTTCGAACCCGAGGAAAAGGAAAAAATTTCGAGAAATCTCGGACCGATAAACAAAGTGATGATGTTAACGAATCGCGGTGCTCTCTGTTGCGGAGAAACCGTCGAGGAAGCTTTCTTTAACGTTTATAACATGGTTTTAGCTTGTGAGACTCAGTTAAAGCTAATGCCCGCTGGTTTGGATAATTTAAATCTCATTTCGGAAGAATCGAAAAAAGCCATATTCGAGGCTTCGAGAAAACCACCGACACCGCAACAATCGACCGTACCGATATCGGATAGTACAGCTCTTGCTGAGAAACTTGAAAAGCGCTGGCGAATCGGCGGAACTGAATTCGAGGCACTCATGCGAATGCTCGATAATGCGGTAACCATGCAAATAGTTCATTTCATTTCATTTCTCCCTTCTCCCTTTGCTATGCTTTCTATAATATCTTGTGTTTTTCGATTCGATTTCATTCAATGTATAATTGGAATAATTTTCGATTCCGTTTTTAGGGTTTCCGTACCGGTTACATCTATAGAAATCCGTTGGTGAAAGGAGAACCTCCACGACCTCGAAACGACGTTGAAGTGCCTCCGGCAGTTTCGTCATTGGGATATTTGCTTGAGGAAGAAGAACTCTATAAACAAGGGTAAGTGCATGCGTTCTAGAAAGAGATGGTAAAATACGTACGGCGTACGCTATCTAAAGGAAGCTTTTAATTTTCTGTTTTCCCCTTTGTTTCGCAGACTCTGGAAAGGAGGTCGCAAAGGGACGGATAGATCGCGTTGGTTAAATTCGCCTAACGTCTATCAGAAGGTCGAAATACTCGAAACAGGAACTCCTGATCCGAAAAAGATCACAAAGGTAGAAGTCATCACTTTTGAGAACAAAAATGAATAGTAGATATATACATATAAAAGCGTGTTCCTAAACAATAGAAAATTAGGAGAAAAATTAATGCAAGAATTTTTTTTCAAACTTTTCTCAATGATTGTCGATACTTGTGGTAGATATTGCATTTTCTTATTTTTAAACAAGCTATTTCAGGAAAATCATTGTTTAATTATATTATCGTGAACATTTGACGACGAAAGAGATGATACTTTCAGTTTTTCAGAAATATTCTTTAGCTCGTGATTGCGTCATTTTCTGCGCGGCTTGATTTTCATATCATTCAGTTACGTTGCTTTATCATCTGTTTCTTATTTGTAATTTTTATAATAGTAATATTATTTCTCACATTCCAATTTATGTTTAATGTATTATTAGAGGAATAGGTTGTGTAACTCATAAATATATAGGGCGGGGAAAGAAGAAAAAAGACGGGTGTGGGGGATAAGAGAAAGAGAGAGAGAGAGAAAGAAGGAAAGAAAGAAAGAAAAATAGAGGAAAAAACGTAAGCCAACGCGCGCGATTCTTTATGAAAGAAAACGTAACGAGAATGTTAAGAAAAGATGAAGGAGGAAAGGAGGAGAAGAAAAAAAGAAGAAAGGAGAAATGATAAACGAATCGACGATCATTTAAGAAAGTTTAAATAATCAGTTTGTAATGAGTGCGAAACGCAAGGCTAGCTAAATGTCGTAACGATATCGCGTGTGTTTTAATGAATATTAAACTTACATATAAATTTAATTGCATCTCTCTCTTGTAGCTTATTAATATACAAATAAATATATGCCTACTGTTCATCGTGTATAGGTAATTTTTCGAAAATGAAATAACCCTTTTTTTTTTTATGGTGAAACGACACAACGATATGTGTTATACATACATATAAATACGAAGATAAAACTAAATGGATTTGCACGATTTAAATTCGTGTCGGTTTCCTAATAAATGGAATTGCTATGGTGCATTCGAGCATCATTATTATTTTAACGTAAAAGCAAAGATAAATCGTACAATGGTCTGCCTCGGACATATCGCGATTCTCGGTTGGCTTACCGTAGTCGGAGCTGTGTATGAATGTGTGCCTGTTAATTGTGTCATTCCTGAGGCGATGTATATTTTTGGTCCCCACTGCATTTACAAAACCAGATCGATCGACCCCGGTAGTGACAGAGATGGATTACAGAGTCAAAATACAAAAACATAGGAATGAAAAAATGCGTAGAGGGGTAGGGGGGGATACATAATTTTATTTTTTTAATTTTTTTTTCTAGGAAATATTTGCGATCGACAGTAAATGTGAAAGCATGAAATTATTTAGTGAAATTGAATAAGGGAAAACTTAGCTGGTGATAAACTAATGTATCGTAAAATAAGATTATCAAGAAAGCAGGCACACATAGCATACGCAGATGAATTAATGAATTTTCAATTTTACGATGCTATGTCGAATGTCAAGTGTCGAATTTTGAAGTAGGGGTCGACTAACGTTCTGGTTTTGTGCGCAGTGGGTGTCAGACGGCTCTCCGACCCATACCAGTACACCGGTGAAGATCGAAGGTGCCCTTCAATTCGTACCGAAAAATACCAATCCAAAGGAGTTTAAGCAAATACAGCAACAGGTAAGTAAAAAAATGAATTTTGATTAACACCGCATTTGATTTTCTGTATAGGCGTTAGCTACATATACGATATGACGATATGACGATATGACGATATTATGTGGTAAATTGTATCGGTATACCTCGAGGTATGTTTCTTCTTCCTTTTTAGATAAAAGATTATCGTAGAGCCGATAAAATATCGGCTGGACCACAGTCCCATATATTGGAAGGAGTTACTTGGGAAGAAGCGAAAAAGATGCAGGTAAAAAAATTTTCCCCTTCCTGTTTTAGTCGTTTTAAATTATACTAACGTAAATGTTCGCTTAAACGCGATGTACGTTAGGATGCAACTATCAGTGGAACAGGAGAACAAGTGGTGTTGGTAGGGGCAGCCAGCAAAGGTATCATTCAAAGAGGCTTTCAACACAATGCGATGGTTTACAAAACTCCATATGCAAAAAATCCTTTCGATGCTGTTACCGATCAAGAGCTGGACCAGTACAAAAAGGAAATTGAACGCAAACAAAAAGGAGATATTTGTGAGTGTATCGAAAGAAGGGGAAAAAAAAAGAATTAGCATGTTAAAATAAAATTCACGTATTTGATAGAAGAAAAGCCGCGACAAACGCTTGATACGGTGATTATTTTTGTTTTAAAAGACGATGAATCGCAGTCAGAATCGGAAGCATTGTCATCGTTTAATGTCAGCCGTGCAACCCACGAATCGAGCACTGCCAAAAGTCCTATTCAGTCACCGGTATCGGTAACTTCGGAAACGGAAGAAGAAAGCAGAGACGGTAAATAACAGAGTCGTTTCAATGATTTTACAGTAAATAAAGAATTTGTGTGTAAACCAATTGAAAAGGTATATAAATAATTAATCGGTTCGATCGTTTTCAGAACCTCGAGTATTGCGAATAGAGACGAAACAAGTGCCTGCACCGAGTCAACCTGAAGTTGTATTGAGCGATGGTAAGTTATTTTATCGGGCTTGTAATTTGTATCTGTGTGGGTCTCTTATCTCTCGGAGAGATAAAGCCGAGGGGAATGCAATGTACGTTAAATTCCTCTGAATTAACCGAGTAGAAAAGAAGGAAAGGGGCTTCTAAATATGTTACGATTCACCCGATTCATCGATAAGTTTCTTCACTTTTCCTTGCTTTCTAACTATACATTTCCATACCTTTCTCTCTTTTTTATTTATGATCACTAACGCTTGCACCTTGCCGCATGTAATACCTGCACATTCACGTATATCCGCATGTTTGTTAAGTTTATGCACGATCACGTTTATTACTAAATTCTCAAACGTTACTTCTCCGAATGTTGTTGTACCATTGTTTTATGTTTCCATCTATTACATATATGTATTTTACAGCACATAATAACGCGATGTCTTTTTAGTTTTGTTCGCTGATTATAAAATAAAAGGTGGTGATCGTTGAAATGGATAAAAGGTATACGAGATCGCGACAATAAGCAACCGTTTCTCGTTGTTTGTTCGAATAAAACCATGGCGAAAGCTGGGTATTCTATCAGGTAATGAGAAAAGATTTTAGATACGCAGGTGTGAGCATCCGTGATCATAACGAGTATCTTCTGCCTCCACGAGAGAGAATAAAAAAAGGTGGAGGAGAGAAGAAAATAAACATTGAAATACAATGATAGTGTATATTTTGGGCAAAATGTGGTTGCAGATGGTGATTCGTCGAGCAGGTACTGCAGTGAAAGCGATAGCGATAGCGATAGCGATAGCGAAGACAAGTTTTCGAAAGTATATAGCGAAGAGCCGCGTTTAGAAATAGCTCGAACCGGTGTTGTTGCAAAACGATTGACGCCTACCTTGATCGCCTATCCACCGATGGTCGTTCTATCGAATTCATCTTTGAGCGTGATGAAAGAGAAAAAGTCGCATTTAAGAACAGAAGGTAACGAAAATTCATCGAAAGTTGTTGATCGTGAGAAGAACGCTCCTATTTTGTCGGTTTCCCGTTACGAACGGAACGACGGAAAGGCACAAGAAACTGTCGAAACAATAAAAGCCAGTGTCGATAGTAAGAATGTGAACACTGTTTCTTCGTCAAAGACGAGATCGAAAACGAAGATGGAAAGAAAAGCAACAGAAGACGTTTTGCTTGATTCAAATTTCGAAATTTCTAAAAAGTGTAACTTGGATTCCACCGATATGAGTTTGATATACAGTTTAACGCCATTGTTGGACCCAGAGTATCAGGAGAATGTGAACGAGGAACGGACCTCGATGTCGTCGATGTCGTCGATGTCGTCGATGTCGGCCGAACGCACACTTACCTTGGATCGATCAATGGGCGAACGTTTGAATGAAAAATACCGTATGTACGAAGAAGCGACATACAATTGCGACTGGTTCGATTCGTCGTACGACAACGGTAGCGATACGTACGAATCATTCGATGAAATTTGCGCAGAAATCGGAGATGAGCTTTCTTCCGATAACGAACGTTTCGAGATTCGTTCAAAGGAAGAGAGGAGCGATGAATTGTTTGGAAACGGTATTAGTGACAGTGCGAACGAAATTATCGCCGAACTTGACGCCTGCGATACTTTTGCGAGTATTTCTTCTTTGTTAGATGAGATTTTCCAGAGAGTTTGCGATACTCTTTTCTATCGTTCGCTTGCCCATTCTCGGTTTTTCAATTTCAATTCCAATTTCAATTTAATCTCATCCTCGATTTTAACGAAGGAACACGAGGAAAACTCGCAGCTGTTGGTCGTGCACGAGATTATTCATCACGTGATAGATGTGCGCGACGAAACGATCGATTGTTCGTTTAAGAGTGTCAAAGACATTGCGAACGTAGAACTAAAAGAAGCACGAGACGGTGTCGTTGCGAACGATGAAACAACTGAGACGGCTGAAGCTAGTAGTAGTAGTAGTAGTCGTGAAAGTGCAGCTGCTATTTTCGAATTTTGTACGATAGCATCAAACGTCGATGATGCAGCGTTACGATTGAACTTTCGAGTGGAGAAGGTCGATGCTAACGAAATAATTCTCTCGAATAGTAGCGATCTTGAAAAGAGTGAGAATTTTCTTGAAGAAGGAAAACCGTCTGATTCTCTTATTACTTTGCTCCGAGATACGAATACGACTAGTTGTCCTCAAAGTGAAGAAATGCTAATGGAACTCGGCAACAATTTCGACGTTGAGTTTTGCACGATGAAGAATCACGATGAACAAGACTGTTTCCGTTTATCGCCTATAAACGAAGAGGTCAACGATACGATGATAGATTCAAAGTAGTATTAAATCGTACAATCATAGAATTTCTGTCCAATTTTCGAGTTCACATATTCTCAGTTTCGTTCAGTGTTTTCAGAACTACAAAGTAATGTTGTGTACGAGATTGACATTTTTATTTTGTTTTTTGCTTTGTTAACACACATAAGATCGTACTAATCCTATGTTCCTAAAGATTGCTGTTTTATGTTCCTAATGATTACCATGTTTTATGTTTTCATTTTCTACTTGATACTCGTTTTGCACGTAAAGCATACTTTGTACATATGAAATAAACCTTTCTTTCTATTTCGTGTGATTTACAACAAATGAAAAAAGGAAAAACAAACGAATTTATAATCCGTTGTTTCGCTTTCGTTGGTACGCTTTCAAAATCGAAGCATTCCAAGAGGAAAGATCAATCATACGTTGAGTTTGTTGTTGAAGGTAAGCGTGCATTGCACTTCTAACATCAACGATTCGTTATACTCGATCATTTGTTCAGTTTGTGCTAACTAGTTTCGTCAAACTGTGGCTTCATGTACTGAATCACAATCGCTTACTAGCTTAAACGGATCTTTTCAATTTAACACGTAACACGTTGAATATATTTTTTATGTTTCAGGGGAAAATACCGTGAATGGCGATCACTCTGATGCACATCACAGTACATTTTCTCAAAGTAGTAAAGAGGTTTGTTACTCGGATTTTTTTTTTTTCTTAAATGTCTCCTCTATTCTCCTCGAGCTTGATTTGATCACACGTATGATACACGTGCATAATTTGAAAGGCTACGATTCTTGGCAATTAGCCTAGCTAATGTTAATAAGTGAACGAAACTCGAAGAAAAATGTAACGTGTTGTACATACGGTAAAGAGAAAGCTCGAGGATGTTGGATGTGTGATGTCGCACCGTACCGTTATCGAGGAACGATTGAAACTATATTTTCAAAACGATCAAGTACGAAATTGAAAAACTTTCTAATCGAAGAAATCCATTTTCGTTGCTGAATAGATTCGAAAAAGTCTGCACATTCGCTGCTTTCGTTAACTATGATATGATGCTTTGGACAAGCTAGTGTGCCAATATACTTAGTGTTTGCTTGCATGAATCGAAGGATTTTTCTTGATACAAAACAACGATCATGCAAAACGTTAAGGGAAGAGAAAGAGGAAAGAATTTGTCTGTCTGTCTGTCTGTGTGTGTGTGTGTGTGTGTGTAGGGTGCGTGACTGTTTTAATCGACAGTAAACTTGAAGAAAAGATGATGAAGAAAGAAAGAAAGAAAGAAAGAAAGAAAGAAAGAAAGGGGGAGAGATTGCTGTTTTGCATGTGCATGCAAAAAGGTTCATGGTTACGGTTGGGACCTTCCGTGTTAAGGGTTCCATGTCGCAGGATGTGAGCGTTAGCGAAGAGTCACCGAAGAAGGAAAAGAAGAAGAAAAAAGGCCTTAGGACACCATCCTTCCTAAAGAAGAAGAAGGAAAAGAAGAAGCCAATCGAGGCGTAGGTAGTTCTAACTTTGGTACGTATTTACATATCTTCAAAACTCAAGCCATTCGATTACAGATTGGATTGAACGCGTTTCGACATTTTCCTACTAATCGGTCATTTTCGCAAATCTTTTTTCTTTCTTTTTGTTTCCGAATAATTCGTGGTTCGAGTGCTATAATTAACAGTAATAATAATAATAATAATAATGTTGGTGGAAATATCGCGTCGCATAAAAAATGAAAGAAACTTAAATTTCTATGTATGCTCTGAAAGTCCAAAAAGACGGAGCGTGTTCAAAGAACAAAATAAAAAGAAAAGGTAGGCTAATGGTTTAAACGTCTACTAAGCATTTCTCTTCTTTTCTTAGAATAGTAGATCTCGGCTGGCGCTATTGTAACTCGCATAGATGCATCAAACTTAGTATTTTATATAATATACACGTGTACGTATATTTAGTCGCCAGTTAGATATTACAGAAATTTATTGTTATCAACGTACGACGATGGTATTGATCACCCGCGTTGCCCCTAAATCGTGTATACTTATTTATTATTAACTAGTAAATCTTGTTTTTTAAATTTTCCATCTTTTTTCTTTTCTATTTCCAGACACTGCCACGTGCAAAAGCTTATCGCAAATAAAAGGAGAACAATTACCGAATATATATAAAAAGAGGATTAAAAACGCGAGCAGAAGAGGAGTCGAGGATATCGCGCAATGCGAATGAAAAATTCATATACCCCGGAAACGAATGATAATAGAACATAGAAAAGAAAATAGTAAATAGGAAATTGAAAAACTGAAATAATCATACAACAATCACACAGACACAGCATATTTCCAGGACTCTCAAGACTGCCATCGCATTACGTCTACGATAAGAAACTATATTGTACTGTTAATGTTTTTACGTTTTTAATTTGTTAAAGCGTCGCGCTAAACTATTTAATCCGCTATTTAATTTTGCCTCCCCAGCCCCGTTTGTGTAATGCAATAAAAACGAAACGATTACGTCTACAATTTACGAGAAATGCCGAGTTTCATCCTTTTTTATTCCATATTTCTCTCTTAACGAGAATATACAAATGATGATTTTTCTGTTAACGAAGCCCAGACGATTTGAAAATAAAATCAATACTCATCGGTAGCGTCTAATTCCATGTCGTTCGAATCTAATCCTACTTCTTCGTAGTCTTTCTCGAGAGCTGCGAGATCCTCGCGAGCTTCGGAGAATTCACCTTCTTCCATGCCTTCCCCAACGTACCAATGAACAAACGCTCTCTTCGCGTACATCAGGTCAAACTTATGGTCGAGGCGAGCCCAAGCTTCGGCAATGGCTGTCGTGTTCGACAACATACAAACGGCTCTCTGTACCTTGGCCAAATCGCCGCCAGGTACAGCCGTAGGTGGTTGATAATTTATACCGACTTTAAAACCAGTTGGACACCAATCGACAAATTGTATCGTCCGTTTTGTTTTAATCGCAGCGATTGCGGCGTTCACGTCTTTCGGAACAACGTCCCCTCTGTAGAGCAGGCAACAAGCCATGTATTTCCCGTTACGAGGATCACACTTGACCATCTGATTCGCCGGTTCGAAACAGGCGTTTGTGATTTCGGCAACCGACAGTTGTTCGTGATAAGCTTTTTCCGCTGATACTATCGGCGCGTATGTAACCAAAGGAAAATGTATTCTTGGATAAGGAACCAAATTCGTCTGGAACTCGGTCAAATCGACGTTTAACGCGCCATCGAATCGCAACGAAGCCGTTATCGAGGAAACGATCTGGCCGATCAGCCGATTCAAATTGGTATAAGTTGGTCGTTCGATATCCAAATTGCGCCGGCAAATATCGAAAATCGCTTCGTTATCGACCATGAACGCGCAATCGGAATGCTCGAGAGTCGTATGAGTAGTCAGAATTGAATTGTACGGTTCGACGACTGCCGTCGAAATACGCGGTGCCGGGTAAATGGCAAATTCTAATTTCGATTTTTTCCCATAATCTACCGACAAACGTTCCATTAACAGCGAAGCAAAACCTGACCCAGTACCGCCTCCGAACGAATGGAAGATGAGAAATCCTTGCAATCCGGTGCACTGATCCGCTAACTTCCGTATCCGATCGATCACCAAATCGACGATTTCTCGCCCGACTGTATAGTGACCGCGAGCATAATTATTCGCTGCATCTTCTTTACCGGTGATCAATTGATCTGGATGAAAAAGTTGTCGATATTTTCCGCTTCGTACCTCGTCTGTGAACGTTACCAAAACGACAATCTCAAACATCATCTCGTTCTATTACTTGCTTCATACAACGATCCAATCCAATTCTTCACTTACCGACGACTGTTGGTTCCAAATCGACGAATACCGCTCTAGGTACGTGTTTACCGGAACTAATTTCGCTAAAGAAGGTATTGAAACTATCGTCATACGTCTTATCCGACGGCATCTCTCCATTTGGTTGTATTCCGTGTTCCAAACAATACAATTCCCAACAGGCGTTCCCAATTTGAACGCCCGCCTGACCGACGTGGATGGATATGCATTCACGCTGATATAACGTAACATTTTAATTATTCTTCTTTTTCAATTTACTTTAACTTCAAATTAAATAGTACTGATGATCATTTTCTTACCATTTTAAAAGTTGTAATCTTTTACGCAAACAATTCGTTTACCCGTAAAAACAGTCGACCGAGTGGACGCCGCTTTCTTTCTTCAACGATTCCAACTTAATAACGCAGTACAGGAACGGTCGTCGGCCTCTTATATCCCTTGTTTCGAGTCATCCTAAAATCATCACAAACTAACTGTTTTAATGATCACTTTGGAAAATTACGCTTTTTATTTCTTTTTTTTTTTACGAAAGTGTATACGTTACTGTACCATTTTTACGTCGTAAAACTTGAACTCGACCAAATGGACGGGAAGATACATACGTTTCAACGATTAATTTCACAATACTTGCGTCGCATTTAAGATTAAATCTAATAAACGGATATAAATAGCATAGCATCTCTTACCTAGCCAAGTCCTGTACGCACAGCCAACTGAACGAGAACGAGAAATCCATGATGCAAATTTCTCTGTTCTACTTTTATCTCTATTCAACTATATTTATCCGTCTTTCATTCCTGCGAATTGCTTCTTCCATTATTCAACTATGTAATAAGTTCAATCTTGCTGAACACAATAAACGACAATTGAACAATTCTCTATCCAAATTCCAATTTAATTGCACAAAACACGTAACGTGATATCCCTTTTTCAAGCGGTCCAAGTATCTATCTAAGTAAGTAAGTAAGTAAGTAAGTAAGTAAGTAAGTAACGGGGTAGACACGGGTAATAGTAGCGCGTTGACATTACCAGCAAAAATGGATCTAAAAAGAGGTTTACGTAACTACACTTTTCGTCCTAATATACATATATACGAGAACATTTGGGGCTGGGCTGAGATGGGCTGGGCTGGGTGAGGGCTTATTCAATGAAAGAGGAAGGTTCAATCGCTCAACTCCCAAAGTGGAGGAGTTACAAAATATTGAAATTGATGTCTGTCGAAATGGCGGATCGGACTCACCTGCGTTAATTTATTCGTAATATAAACATTTCTGCGAATCGTATGTCCAAATCGGCACCAAACTAACAGTCTTTGCCTCCTCCAGGTCCAGGTAGAAGAAATCTAGTTCCTCGTTTTCTCTATAGGGCGCAGTTGATTCATTTCCTACGCTCGACGACCGGCGACAGCTGGTGGGTGTATGCGAACCGGCTTCGACGCTCGTTTAGAATAATTACCTAATTATTGCGATAATCTGATTGAAACGATCAAAATATGTATCAACATTTTCAAAATTTAAGAGACCGTGAAAATCGAGCAGAATTGCGTGCATTTATTCGAGACTCGAACGTTGAAGAGGTAACCGAACGTTGAAAAGTTTTTAATATGTTTGCTAAAAACAGCCTTTTAACAGCTCGTGAAAATAATACGCAACAGCATTTGTAAATTGGATGCTCCAAAAATACTAGATGATATTCTGCAAGAGTTTTCAGACTCGGAAGCTTGTCAGTTAAAACGACGTGTCTTAATGGAAGCTGTTTTGAAGGATTTAGGAAATGTTAAAATATCAGCTGGACAGGTGGATGCGATCGTCAATCGAATGATTGTTGATTTTCCGAAATATTCGAAGCAACACCTTGTTAAACTTGTTGATTTTTGCCTTTCTAGTATTCGTAACAGCGATGACGAGTTACACAGGTAAATCAGTTTCATTCTTCTGATCATGTTTTTTCCAATTACAATCCTTATTTTTCTAAATTCGATTCTTCTTTTAGTTGGAAGGATTTGTTGCCTGTCTTGCTGGAAATGCTTGAAAATGAAAAATATATCATTCACATGGGTGCTGAAGTTTCAGGCGACGAGTATAAATCGTTAATCGTTAAGGCAATATGTAATTATCGGTGGAACGTTAATATTCTAGCATCTTTGGCAAAAATGTTTGGGTAAATGATTAAACTATCTATCGTTTGGAAGTACCGAATCCGAAACTAAGCTTTTATAAATCTTTGTACGTAAAGAGAGATGACTTTGGATCGTAAAACTGATCGTAACCAAGTTCTAAAAGCGCTATGTTCTACATTGGCTGACCTTTCTTTGGATCAAATACCCCCTTTTGTCTATCAAATGCTAAAGTTGTGCAGAGATCGAGAGTGCTTGTATCTTTTGGATGCCCTGAACAAATATTTCCAATCTTATTATTCCAAAGCAGTTTCTCACAGTGATAAAGATAGCCTAGAAGATATTGGTACGTAAAGAACAGGAAAGAACAGGAAAGAACAGACTAAACGTGGTATAAAAATCTTTGGATCTTATATTTCTATAGGTATAATCGGTATGAAACAAGTACAGGACATAGAGAGTACAGTACTGTACTATTTATATCAAGCGGCTCAGCTGAATCACGAAAATATGAAAGATTTTATTCGCCATCTGAAAAACGTGTCTTCCGCTTCCGAATATATGTTACAACCATTCATGCTCGCTGTATTAATATCAATTTCCAGCATCTACGAAGAACAGGTAATAACGTTCGATTAAATTCATTTTGGTATTCTTACTGAAACGTCTGTTCGATAGATCTTCGAGATACTGAGATCAACTATTGTTAATAACAGTTTGGAGAAAGAAAAACGAAAAGGAAGCGCATGGTTGAGACAATTAATACCTTCTTCTTGCAACATTATCGGAGTTGTACGACAAATTATAGAGTGCAGGTAATGCAACATTTTTCTTTCTTATCTCTTTCCTTTATCTACTTCGGCAGAACAATTCATCTTCTAGCAACAAAGATCGTCACTTAATATTAAAAGGATTCATGAATTTAGCCTTCGCTTTAATGAATTCGGACCAAAAATTGAAAAATAACGCAACAATAGTGTGGTCCATCGGGGGAGAAATAATTCGAGAAGTAATTAAAAAGCGTCATGAAACGGTAGCTACTGTGATGCAGGAATTGGTAAATAAAATAGTTGCAGGTGGTACATCGATAATACATTATATAGGTAATATACATATAACGAAATGAAAATACGTGATATTATCATCGCCTGAACGTATTATACTTTGATTTCAGACTGTTTAAACTACGCTTGTCGTGAATTATCAGTGATCGTTTTGGATCATCAAATTTGGATTATTATTCTTCTTGAACGTTTGCTCTTTTTACCTGATGCTGTTGCCAATCAAGTGTTGTACGCTATTTTTCCATTGATGCGTGTTTCGTCTAATATACGAGAAAACCTTCTTTTGACTTTGAGAAAAGCCCTTTACAGGAAAGGTGTATCGAAACGGCAGATGGCAGTTACTGGATTTCTAGAGATGTTAAAATACTCGAAAATGCACTCATTGGACAGCTTTAGACTAAGTCAGCGTCATAATTCTTCACCATTCGTTACTAGTTCCAATTCCAGTTCCAGTTCTAGCCTGAGATCGACGTTAACTCAAGTATGTGCGCTTTTCAATCGAGCTGATAATAATAGTTATCACATTTATCGATGGTTGCAAGCTGAATTTTAATCCCCCGATTTAGGCAACTCTAGAATATAATTCGCAACGAGACAAATCAGAATGCGAAAAAACTCTATGTTATGAAATATTGGATATATTAAAAAAGAGTTTTACCTACGAATTTCAGGTCAGATTGCATTTATACGAAGGTAAAGACAAAAAAGTTTCGTACACGAAACGATTTTTCAACGAATAGTTATTATTTTTCAAGAAAATTACATTTCCGTAGGATTGTATGATACCGTGATGAAAAATTCTGAAATAACAGAAATCGTGTTAGACATGCTCTTGGCGCATTTTAATCTCTATGTAGATACGGATGATGATGTTTTGCCACCTGTGAAATTCGACTTGTGTACAAACGTACTCGGAACGGAGATAGTTCCGCAAGAACCTATTGCGGAATTAATATTCGCGTTACAGAAAATATACGTCGATACGATGCCAAGGAAATCGGCTGCCTTTGATAAAGTACGCGATGCTTTAGAGTTGATGTGTAGAAAAATGATAGCTACACAAATGGAACACTTAAATCTGGTAATGAAAAGTTTCAACGTTAACGTAGAAATGAATGTCTCTAAATATGTTGTATTAATATGTGAACTTTCTTTACGTATCGATCATCTTAGGAACACGAAACGGATCTGTTTGGGGACTTATCCAAGTCACAGATAAAAATCAGAAATCTTGGCATGGCCATTACAATTTACGAAGCCTTAATGGCATTTCGAATAGGAGAATGTTTAAAAGGCAATCTGGAAAGTTTTCGAAAGATCGACGATTTGTTTAAAGGATACACGCGATCTGTTGACTTTATTAAAATGGTAAAGATTAAACTTGATTTTTCCTCCTTCTTCTTCTTTCTTTCTTTCTTTCTTTCTTCCTTCCTTCCTTCCCTCCTTCCTCTTATACTCATTGTTCATTGTAGCAATCTACAAAAATTAAAAAACTCGATAACAATAAAGCCAAAAAGAACAAGGATATAAATAATACGACTAGAAAGTTTGGAAAATCGAATAGCATTAAAGTACCAAATACCATCATGGATTTGGATGTGATTCGTCAAAGTTTAACACTATTATATTCGTAAGTATAATAAAGAATGAAACAACTACAATCAGCTTAGTTAATTTAATTTATTTTCAATTGTAGACGATCCTTTACGGTTCCCGAGGAGGTTGCGTTTCAGGAAAATTCAAAGTTTCGTTGTTACATATTTCAAACGTGCGAACAACTGTTACAACGTGAAAAATTAATCACGAATGGTTCTCGAAAGCAAAACGACCGCTACGTGAACGCGTACATCGAGATCGCTGGGTAAGTAAACACACCTGTAATCTACATAATTCGGCATCTTTGATATTGAAAAGCTTCTTCTTATTTCATTAGATTGCTTTACAAACACTTGGTATCAAAGTTAAACGATATACTGGAAAACGACGAACAACAAACAGCCGTATTAGCTTTGCAATGTTTCAAAGAAATTTCTTGCTATGCATGTACATCACTGTCGCACGAGGAGTTATCACGATTTCTCGATTCAATTTGTATGTATCTAATTAACAATTTTTTCTATTACACCTTAAGAACGTCATTGCTTTATGTGCATTTATTCTTTCACGTTGCAAGTACTATCGAGAAAAGACACAACATCGAAAGATTTAAATATAAAATTAGAAGAAATTATTTTCTCGCTAAAATGTCAGTTGGAAAGTTCACTGGTTGAAGAAAGAAATATTGACGAGAGAAAGAAAATACCGTTTTTTTTATTGGAAATAATCGAACAGTTTACGTATAAAATTAACTTTGAAAACTATCATTCTGAGAAGGTTGGTACATACACAAGCATTCTTTTTCGGAATTACTTTTCTGTTCGCATAAAATTAATTTCGTTTATTTCAAAGATACTCGAATGGTTTAGAAAAATCACGGAAATGGAGAATGTTGAAAATTCGATCGTTTCTGGGATTATGCAGTTTTTCTTACGCTTAGAAGAATATACCGAAGAATATGGAGAGTCATTGCACGAAATTTGTCTGGAATTATGCGAAAAAGTTGGAGCTATCGATGATGTAAGCAATCACAACGAACATGTTGTCTTTTGAAATATCTTTCTGATCAAACTTGATGGTTTTCATCTCTATTTTATTGAAAAGTAGGTTGACTTAAATGTAAATAAACAATATAAAGTTATACGGGAAGATACCGCTTTACAAATTTATAACGTATTGAACGGTTGTATAAAAGAAAAGCTGAATAACGTTTCCTGGCTATTGATGCGATTAAAAGCGGAAGACACTGTCGTTCGAGCATCTGGAACTCTCAGCGAAATTTGTAAGTACACAGTTTCAGAGTGTATTGTTACGTAACACTGTATCTATATTTTCGAAATAGGGAACAACAGTTTAAGAGAGAAAGAACGAAATCTGTGTAAGCAATTGTCCCGACTCGCTCAAATACTTTGTACATTAGCTAATACATCAATCGATCCAGGCCCATGCACCGATGTTACGTTTAAGAATTTGCAATATCTCTATCATTTGCTTGGAAATCTTACGAAATACTTTTACGTAAAGTCAAACGGACAGAATGTTGCATTTCAAGCGGTCAAGTACGTGTCCTTCTAAAACTTGTACCACTTTATTTATAGTAATAATTTTTTCGTTAATCGACGATATATTACAGATTCATTCAAGTAGTTCAGTTAGCTGGTAAACCATTAAAATCTGCTTTTTATAATTTGGTAACGTACGTGGAGGTATGCCAAACTCTTATTTTCTTTGCTTTCCGATTGATTTATTCTTTTATTGGAAATTAATTTTTTAAAGGAAAATCAAAACAAAGCTCGCTCAAAATCTGACTCGCACGCGCAAAGAAATAAAATCTTAAAAGAAACCAAAGTAATACCGCGCGTGGTTTACGAAATCGAACAATTCAACAAGGAAATTTTACTACTTGGCAAAAAAACGAGTGTAAGTATCAAGTATCGAAATATACATATACTATATGTATAGTAAAACTGTTTACTGGACTCGTCTCAATTTTTTTTTTAAGTTATAACTTTCTTTAAATCCACTCGAACAGATACCATTAGAAAACTACATGAAGCATAGCGTAACGAGAGATTTTAGAATTAAGAATCCACAACTGGTCGAAGATCTTGAGAAAATGGATGTGAGCTTGGTAATGAGAGCGCAATGAAAAAAGATGTTGTTGCATTTTATTTTGGTTTTCGTAATATCACTTTAATCAATCTATCAATACACTGTACAATTCTTTGTCTCCTTGATTCAGGAACAGCTTGATTCTTCTCGGAACTCGGAAAACACTGATAATGAAAATCAGAGCTTGAACGCAGATGATGGTTCCGACGATGATACTAACGAAACAAAAGTTGCAAAAAAAACGGCCGAGGATGGAGGATGAAAACGCTCTGGATTAAAATTCGTAACGTTGCCTATCAAAATGTATAATTTTCAAATATTTTCATTAACAAAGAATCGTTTACCGTTTACATCGTACATATTTACTTGTATACTTTTTCTTGTCGTCATAGTTTTACGCGACTAATAAACGTTTAGCATTTATAATTTTATGCAACAAAGTCCAACGGTCTGTTGAAGCCTCCCTTTCTGTTCATATACTGTCGGTATTTTCGTTTTAAGATCACATGTACAGCTCCCACATCGTTCCCTTCGACTTTCTTCCCTTTAGTAGTATCAAAACCACAAAAACCCATTATCCTCATCATCTCTTGCTCCTCCGGCGTTTTCCCTTGAAGATCAGCTTCTACGATGGGTTTATTTGAAAAATTTTCCGATAATTTTCGAATCTATGTTCAACGTGAAATTCTTTTAACAATTTCTTCCCTATTTATATTACCTGTAATCACAGGACGTTCTGCTGTTGTAGGCTTTAATTTTGGTTTAGGTCTGTCTCTGTCTCTCGATCTTGATCTACTGTACGAACGTCTATGCCTTTCTCGTTCACGATCGCGATCCCTCTCTCTTTCCCTGGATTTTACACGATCTCGTTCGACTGATCTAAAATTATGTAAAATTATCAAGTATTCATCGTATCATCGTGCTTCTGTTTTTTTCAATTAGGTGTATTATTCAATATTAATTCAATAGGTGTATACAAAGTACTTGTGTATATATATATATATATACCTTCTTCTTCTTTCACGCGAACGTCTTCTTCTTCGATCTCTGTCGCGTTCTCGCTCCCGATCTCGATCCCGATCCCGATCGCGAGATCGATCTCTTCTTCTTCCAGGCGAAGGTGTACGACTGCGTCCCATTTTTGTATCTGTTACTTACAATTTATACATATAAAATGTATAATTGTATAAACTAACCTAACAACGCGTAACAAACACGGCAATTATTAAACACACAAATGCGTTCTTTCTTGTGTTTTTATTTTTCAAAATATCATTTCAAGTACAAAATGTCGAAATGGATGCGAAATACGCTTAATTATTGTTTAAAAACATGTATATATATACATATCTAATTTGTAGAATCACCAGGTTATGTTTACGTATTTATGTATGTTTATGTATACCGCAGTTCACCAGAGTCCATAACTGCGACGCGCAGGTTGGAAGATGGTGGGGGAACGCAGCAAGCTTTCCGCCAATCGCTTTCCACTTCGTTTGGGAGTATCGCTAATCAGGGCGAAGATGCGCACTGGAGAAGCGCGAAGAACGAAAACAGGTCTTTTCGCAGTTATGGACTCTGGTGAACTGCGGTATGCATACATACAACATATATTTCGATCACGCTCGGTGTCCCTCTAGGGAAAATGGCACTTATGGCGATGCAAGCTTTGAAAACTTTACCGACAGTCCCTAGAAAAAACCCTAGAAACGAGTTTTCATATACGTTGTCATTACTAAACAGAATGCAAAAAGATTTGAGGGACGTGATCAGGAGACCCTAAAGAATTGAAATTTATGTCTGTCAACGGTCAAGAAAATAGGGGATCAGACTCGCCTACAAGGGATAATCTATGTATGTATGTATGTACAAGCCTCCATTATCCAGGTAGAAGAAATTTGAGAATTACGATTTTCACTCGCGAAAAACGTCGAAAAGGTAAAATAGACCACAAATTTAGTTCCTCATTTTTTCTGTAGGGCGCAGTCCATTCGTTCAGTATGCTCGACAGCGAAATCATTCGCAGCTCGTGTAAGTATGTGATTAAATTGTTAGGTATCAAAAATACAAGAAACAGAAGACAAAGTTGAAGAGAAGACCAGAGTCATGACTTCTGACATCACTTTCATATTGTCCTCAGAAATGCGTAAGCTGAAAATTGATATCCTATTTTGTCGATATAGATACGAATTAAAATAACATATTTCTCATTTATTCTGTTTTTATGATGATAATTTATTAAATACCATTAATATCTTGTGTATTTTTCTATCTTCTTTCTTATATTTCGATGCTTTAAAGTGAAAAAAGTAATCTTGACCTTATTTCAATATGGCGTTGATAATTTTCAACGAATCTTTCAAAGCAATTCGTAGTTTCTACCAATGCCTGTGATTGGTCATTCCATTATGGCGTCCTCCTATTTAGACCAATCAGATTCATCGTTGAAGGGTGCATTGCGCAGAGTGTGATGGAGTGCAACAGTCCTCTTCGAAGCTTCGTCCGTTTAACACGTGTCCGCAACAGGTAAGATTAAATTAAATTGCCGATCGGGTGTTAACAGTACAAAAAATAGAAAGAAACATCGACATTTTTGACATTAATTCGGCGGTTTCTTCAAAAATACGCGAGTTGACAATTTTTGCTTTCGTCGCGAATGCACAATGAAAGTGGAACAGCAGAATCCGAATTATTTTCTCTTTTATATCGTTAAGTTCCTAAACATTATTGAATGTTTTTAGTACTGTTTTACTCAATTTGCTGTTTTTAATTTAATAACATTCTTTTTTGAACATTGTAATATTATTTTTGTTTAGACCTATTCGTGTATGTACTTGCTTAGGTATCGGCCGATAGCGGAATATACCGAAGAATGCCGAAGCGGTGCCGATCGGTCTTCGTCGGGAAGGAAGGTCTCGCCATTTCTTTCGCGAACGTCGAAGTGACTAGACGTGTTGAAAGCATCTTTCCGCATAAGTACTTGTGCGGAATTTTTAATTATTTGAAAAAATTCACACATGAACGTACTTATGCGTTTGTTGAAATAACAATGAAAAAAATATATACAATATGTATTATATATATAAAGTAGTATTCATTCGAAAGAATCGCGTAAATTATCGAAGATGCACTCTCCGATATATCATTTTTTTCTTTAACTTACTTTTCACGAAATTTAAAAGGACAAATTCTTACGTTTATCGTACGATATACCGTAAGTCCTTGGCGCGAAAAGTACGAAGGGTGCAAGTACCTGTCTGATAGTGTCTAATTTGATTTTCACTGCTATACGTATGACCATATTTTATTACAGATAGGTCCCTTAGATTTGGTTGCTTTGTAAAATTATTTAAAAGATCCTTAAATAATTGTTTCGTTTTCTTTGCAAATTAAATTATCTTTTTCTTTCAATTTTATTTCCTTCTATCTGCAGTCTGTTGTATAACGTATTTCGTGCAATTCTTGTGATATAAATGAAACTCTTAATTCAGCGAAACGTAGAAAACGTCGAAGGAAAGCCACGTAAGCGCACGAGAGGAGGAAATAAAGAACGAGTAGAATGCAAGAACGAAAGAACTCACGGCACGATCCACGAGACGTGACTACACCGATGTATATATCTACATGCATACAATATTACGAATGACGTATGCGTTATTCGTCGACAAACAAACTGACCAAACGATTAACCGATCGAAGGATGGTCGAGCGAACAGCGAAACGAGCGTGGAAAAACAGTTACGATCGATCGTTATAGATCAACACGAGCATGTACGTAACGAGATCACGGTAATGTGTTCGTGTCAATCGATTTTGATCAACAACGTTTTAACACACAGTGCGTTGTTACACAAAAATATCGAGATAAGAAGAGAGAGGAAAAACGGAAAAAGAAGAAGAAGAAGAAGAAAAAGAGAGGATACGTGACATTCAAAGGTAAAATAAAAGTTATCATATTGGTCATCGGATTGGTTTAGCAATGAATGTTCTAAATGTATGTATATGTATATGTATGTATAAGTACTTATATTCATCCATGTATACATATACACGTATCTATACGTTTAGCGTGAAATTTAGTACAAGGGAAAATCAACACGTATGTCGAATTGTACAAATGGCTATTTGTTTGCCTATTTTCTTTCTTTTTCTTTTAGATAAAACAAGAGCAAATTGATCCAAGTGGCGTGATATTTGCTTAGAAGCGAAAGTAGAAACGCAACTGAGAAAAATGGTGTCAATGTGATACGACACAAGGACACGCTAGTTTTGATTTTTCTACGACGATTGTCACTCGTTCGCAATCCTTCCTTCGTTCTAATAAACAATACATTACTTATCCGAACGTAAATTGCTTGTCATCATCCTGCTTCTAAATACTAAATACTAAATTATGTATAACAAATACTAAAATTATGCATATGTTTCTTTTGCAGGATCGATACCTTGATCTTAAAAAAGAGGAAAAAACTGATACGATTCGTAATCACTTTCAGAAACGATAGGGTGACTTGACTCACATTTGTATATGGGAAGTAAATTGAGGACAGTCGAGCAGATTCCTTTCTTTTTTCTTTTTTTTTCTTATTGTTAGACCGCGACGACACGATTTTCAAATTGCTGCTGACTATTTATTCGATTTTTATTCAGGTATTAAAAAGATATTTACATTATCTATGAACCATATCTTTGTTATTCTTTCTTTTCTTCTTCTCCTTCTTCTTTTTCTATTTTTTCTATTTTTTCTATTTTTTCTATTTTTTCTATTTTTTTAATTTTTTAATTTTTAGAAAAATGTCACATCTAGAAACGAACAAATGGACTCCAAAACTGATAATAGTCTTTCAACTGACTATCTGGAGTATCGTTGGGATTATACTTCTTCAAAAAGGTGCCATCTCTCTTCGTGAAAAAATGAAGCCGCGAAATGATACTGCTGACGTACAGGTTCGACATTTTATTCGCTTAGAAAAATATTATACACGACTTTTTGGACGACCTTTTGGTATTATCCCGATATATAATTAAATGGCGGCATAACATGAAGGAACACACGCGTTTACATAGATGTCGTTTCATTTTATTATACGTATATCGATTGATCATTTAGTGATATTTTACAAACGACTGGTCGGTCTCCGTTCTTTTAAAGATCATCGTTAATCGCAGAAGGAAATAGAAAAGAAGGCATATAACAAAATATCTATCTAATAACGTAAAACGATATGTTCGCTTGTCGGTATTCTTGTTCAATTTCTAAGTTAATTGCCATTTTTCCAGCATTCGTGCGTGCATTTCTTTAACGAATAACAAGAACAAATTTCGGAAAAAGATTCGGAACGGATACTGTTTTCGCAGGATAAGCTCGCAAGATGGAACGGAAAAGAATCTATTAGAGAACCAACGAATGTTACAGACAGTAGTCGACGTCATATAATAAAAGTCTATCAAACCGGCACTCGGCGATGGACAAACGTCGCTACTGATAACGTTGATGATGTTACGTCGAACGAATGGTTATCGCGCAAATTGCACCCCTCTCATCGAACACGTAATATTAACCGAGAAAGTTTTAAGAAAACGTTAACAATCGGAGAACGGACAACAATAACAACGACAGTTGGTCATGAATACGACACTAGAGGCGCACGTGCTATCGAAACCGTGGCAGTTCACGTAAATAATAAAAATAAAATTAAGAATATAAATCATGAAGAGAATGTTATCGTTTCGCTTGCGTCTAATGAACGTTCTTATGATACGGAAAACACTGTGATAAATAATATCACGCCGAACATATTGTTTGAATTTGAAAACGCCGGCTCCGCTAATCTCGCTAGACCAGACAGGAGAAAATCCTTCGAGCACGATGTCAATGATATAACAACCTACGAAACCACGGGAGATGGTAAAAGTGAAACGAAGCCGCGCCGTTCCCCCGTGAATCGAATCGGAGCAGCTATAGCTATTATTATGCTTGTGATTGGAATCATTATGCTGCTTCTAGGTCCATTTATAGTCATTCTTCGTGCACTTAATAATCGAAGGCGAACTAGAGAAACGCTTGATAAAAAAAGGAATCCCAACGATCGGCCTCCTACTTACGAAGAAGCAACCCTAATGGATCAAGCACCGAGATATTCGACGCTCCAGCTAGACACGATTCTCGAATCTTCTTTTTCACTCTAGTCCCTTTCCTCTTCTCTTCTCTTCTTCCATCCTTCTCTCTTTCCTTAATACTTTTTATCTTTTTTTTTCTTTTTCTTTTTCTTTTTTATCATTTCCATTTTGTATATTTATCACTTGCAATGTGTGCCTATTTATTATTTTTCTCATAGTTGTTATTTCACAATCCTGCAAATTTTACATTTGTACGTATATAACTATAAGTATGTACTTACTTACATATACATACACAATGAATGTAATTGTTTTCCAAGAGTAAGTCTTCCCTCTCCGTTTCTGTTTACAACAATTTTAATATCTTAGAATAAATGTAAACAAATTATATGATTAATACCTACTATTAAGTACATATGTGCATGTATTTACATACAATTCATATAATTATGCACATATATAAATATTTATAAATGAACAAAGGAACGAGATTTGAAAGGAAATGGAACGGAATGGAACAATGGAACAGGTTGTGACGGAAGGGATGGAATATGGAATATGGAATATGGAATATGGAAGGTTATGGCAGAACGGAACGGAACGAAACGGAATGAAGTAAGTCAGTAATTCGAATCAAGATGGTACTGGAAAGTACGATGATATGGTAAGGGGATTTATTATTTTCTACAAAATTCAGAAAAAACTTGATATTTTTCTTAATCTACGTACCCGACCGACTTTTGTATCGTTAAAATTTGATAGTTGTTCTTTAAATGTCTATTACGTTGATAAATCGTCAACACTAGATCGAGTGACATTGCAAAGTTGAAATACTTGGAACAGGTTTTCCTTCGAGAATAAAAGTTATCAAATGTCATATCTAATTTAAATTTAAATTTAAATTTAAATTTAACAACGAATAACATTTCCAACGAGCAATTAACATTAGAATATTTATTTCGATAAATGAACCGAATAGAGGTTATTTATTATTTATTTAGAGGTTATGCGATATTGATTTCTCTGAAATATAAAAAAATATGAAAGAATCTAGATTCTACCTATTCATGTCTATTTTTTCGAATATCTTTAGCGTCGACAACAGCGATTATATGAGAAATGGAGATTTTTTACCAACACGACTTCAAGCACAGCAGGATGCTGTTAATTTGGTTTGTCATTCGAAAACTCGCTCGAATCCTGAAAACAACGTGGGCTTGATAACGCTAGCAAAGTATGTCATACCGATCTTCTCTACCGCAAATATTCATCATGGAATGTTCATCATGGAATTGTTTTATTTATTACAGCGTCGAAGTATTGGCTACACTTACCAGCGATGTTGGCAGAATTCTTTCAAAGCTTCATCAAGTTCAACCTAATGGTAACTTATGTCTAATTACTGGAATACGCATTGCACATGTGAGTATGTCGATAATAGCTGGATTTATATTGTATCGTATGAAAATAACAACAGACGCGATAATTATAAAGAAAACTGTTATTCGATAGTTGGCATTAAAACATCGTCAAGGTAAAAATCACAAAATGCGTATCGTGGCCTTCATTGGTAGCCCCATAGAGATTGACGAGAAAGAACTAGTAAAATTAGCGAAAAGATTGAAAAAGGAAAAGGTTAACGTGGATGTGATTAGCTTTGGCGAGGAAAGTATCAATAACGAAGTATTGACAGCCTTTATTAATGCTCTCAATGGAAAAGAGGGAACCGGTAGCCATTTGGTTACCGTTCCACCTGGACCGCACTTAAGCGACGCATTGATCTCCTCTCCCATAATCCAAGGAGAAGACGGAATGGGTGGTACAGGAATGGGAGGAGCTGCGTTCGAGTTTGGTGTTGATCCAAACGAAGATCCAGAGTTAGCATTGGTTTGTACTTTGGATGTTCTTCTTTAGCTTTTCTTTTCTTCTCGTTTATAATATTTACCGTGAATATATTTGTTTAGGCACTACGCGTTTCTATGGAAGAACAACGACAGCGTCAAGAGGATGAAGCGCGGCGTGCACAAGCAAATGAAACAGCTACAAATAAACAACCGGAAACGATTAAAGAAGTACCCAACGAGGAGGCAATGTTGAAACGTGCACTTGCCATGTCGCTCGAAGATACAGAAAACTCGTCTTCAACGAACGATAATGCTGCTCCTACTAATGTAATAAACGTTCCCGATCTTGCTCGTATGACCGAAGAAGAGCAAATTGCTTTTGCCATGCAAATGTCTATGCAAGATCAACGTACGACAAGTATTTTCAATACACGTTCCTTCACGTATGCGTATACGAATAATACATACATGCATACGTACATTTAATTATCATTTATTGATTTACAGAAGAATTGGAGTCCCTGAAGGAAGAAGCAATGGAAGTTGAAGAGGATTATGCTGCTGTTATGTCAGATCCAGCATTTTTGCAATCGGTGTTGGAAAATTTGCCAGGTGTTGATCCTCATTCCGAAGCCGTCCGTCAAGCCGTTGGATCTCTTCAACAAAATAAAGATAAAGATAAAGAGAAAGAGAAAGACAAAGAGAAAGAGAAAGAGAAAGAGAAAGAAAAGGATCAGGAGAAAGATAAGGAAAAGAAATGAAGAATTTACGCGCTCATTGGATACATTACTTTATGTTAATCGCTGTTTTGTGAATATCTGTAAACCAGAATATAGGCGTTTCAGATTTTTCAAAACTTTATACGAGATTATTTATTTTTCTTTTTTAACGTTTCAACCCACAAATTTATGAAATTTGTTCAAGTGTATCAAGTAAAATAATCTTTCTTTCCTTTCCTTCCTCCTGCCGATAGATTCTATTCGCTACACTTTCAAGCATGATCACCGTCTATTGTAATTACTGACTTACTTACTTACTTACTTACTTACTTACTACCAACGATTTAAAATGGTTAAGATGGATGTAAAATTTCAAAATGGCGCCACGTAGGAAAAGCATCAAAGCGTTACGAGGATCGTTAAATAATATTTTAGACAAGGAAAATGATTATTTACGTTCTTTAAGTGATTATCAGACACGTGTTCGAAGGCGAGAAAGTATTAGAAACTGCAAAAATATACCGGTAAGTTTTTTACGAAACAAAAAATCCAATTTATTCCTCTTATCCCTGATTCACGGTAAAATTTTTAATCAGGTATCGGTGTATTCTTTTATAAGAGGGATAATTTCATTTGAAATCAATTGCATTTCCCTTCTATTCTCTTTAGGAATATGATTTACAACGAAAAATTGAATTGGAAGTTAAAATAAAAGAAGGCTCTTCAAGGTTATTGGCCGCTGCGCAGCATCCCGGTCAAAGTTTAGAAGCGGCACGTGCTTTGTTCACTTCGAATGAAAGAATGTCTACCTATATGACTGAACTAGAACATCGTGGAGAAAACGCATCGTTGAAAACCAAGTATTTATAAATTTATTTCGTAAAAGCTAACGTTTATACTTTTAATCTGATACGTATTTACATATGTACTGTATGGATTTCAGCATTTCCGATAACAACGGGAAACTGTTCATTTCGGATCTTAGATTTCCGCTGATGTGGAGAGATTCCGATCATTTCAAAAATCGTGGCGATCATCGAAGATTCGCTGTTTTCTGTTTAGCTCGTGTCGGTGCCGAAATTCAAGATACCAGTTTGCTTTATCCGGTTGATAGAGAACAAACGGACATAAGCTTTCCTGACGTCTTACTATTGTAAGCTGTTTTTTTCGGTAAAACGAGTGATCGACATCATCGATATGTAATACTTACTTATTATTGCGTCTTTACATTGTATATGTATATGTATACAGTAATAACGTATCAGCCGAGTTCCAGTTGACCCTGGAAATTTATAGTCATATGCTGCAAGAAGACCTAAGTATCGCTAGTACTCGAAGAAAAATCAGAAGGACTATTCATTCCTCGATATCAAAGACTGTAGGCAGAAAGTTCGTGGCATCTCTACGCGATGAAAACGATTCTAGCAAAACGTAAGTTTACGCCTACCTAACCTTACGTCTTCGTTGCGTTCAATTTAAAATTTTAATTTCAGACCGCAATTCGATTTACCGGCTTATGCAAACATGACCCTCGACGATACTGACGGGAATGTACGTTCACACGATTTAACGTTGAACAATAAACTTGGTAAGAATCGACTTTATTTCTATCCCTTCGTTTTAACTTTAAACATCTCATTTATCTTTTTTTCAGGAAATAAAGCTCATACATTGCCACTTTTCGGACACTTTTGTTGTCGTTTAGCCATTCAGCCGAATTTTATTGATAAAGAAACTTTGGATGGGTTCGTAATTGTAAATAATCGACGTTATTGGGCACGATTACGAGGATTTCAAATCGAAAGTTGGAAATCAAAGAAGTTGGTGGAAAAGTTGGAAAAACCTACTTGTACGATCTGTGTGAACAGGGTAAAATGAAATATACTTTTAATACTTATATTAAATTATGTTCGATAAAAACGGTATTGTATATTACCGTTTAGGAAACTCTTGTACGACGATCCAAATCGGTAAACAATCAGTTACGGATAATTAATAATACGGACAATATCGAGAAACGTGACATTATGGAATTCGATTCAAACGAAGATCTGCAACGATGGTTCGATCAATTGACGATGCGTATAGAGGAGCACTCAAGGTGGAAACATGCGGCGATAAACCTTCAACGAACTCCGTGTTCAGACAGTTTAACCAAACATATAAATGTAAGAAATTGTTTTACCGATAACAAACGACAAGGATCCATCTATGATGATACACCGCTAATAAGTAATATTTTTCAAGAAACGCAAGGGATTTTTAAATAAACGTGATATTTTAATAATTTCATTAGTTTTTTAAGTTTTTACGCGTGTGTATGTGTCTATATCAAAACTTGCTACTTAATTATACTATTACCATTAGTATCGATTGTAAACAATCGTCCTTTTTATAAAATTTTTATTTCAAGAATATTAGTATCAACGTTTATAATTCGAAAGTCTCGTATACCTAGGATCTTTATCATAGGTAAATTTGATAACCATAATTGTGCCGAATGAAATACATCGTTTCATGGATAAAGGGGATAAACTTTATTCAATCGATTTCATACATAACGATGTTTTTTAAGTATATTTCAAGAACTGTTTCTGTTATAAATAGAAACAATTATTATTATTATTTTTCCAGCTAAGTAATGAATACGGAACGCGCACAAACAACAAAATAAAATAAATTCATTATCGAATGACTGACTGACTGACTGACTATATATACATTAATATATTATTTCTCTTGTCGGGATGCTACAATAACAAATCCGAGAGCCATAGATAATATGGTAAAACTTTGGGCTGCAACTCGCGCACGCATCATGTATTGAGACATTATCTTGTTTCCTTGATAAAAACTGACCAGGCCGTAAGTGAGAGCAGCTGTAGTTGCCACAGTACCTAAAATAACAATGGAACTCGACAAAATAAAATGTAATTTACGTGTCAGTTTTATCGGCAACGTTCTTCTTCTATTTATGTACACATACTTACGTATATAAATACATAAATAGGTGCGATACGTATAATAGCATGACACGACAACGGCGTAATTAACGTAGAGATTATTTGTACTTATTATAATCACTCACCTATAGGTACTGCAGGATTTTCCATCAATTTACGTCTGAATTTCTCCCAAAACGTTTCAGTTTTTATATCATCATCTAGAATTCGAATCCAACTCAATTCTTCCAGTATTTCCGATTTGTTTGATGTATTTTGCGACATTATTGCCCGCTATTTCAGAAATTGGAAATTGCCAATGAACGACCAATATATCACTCGAACGTTAAATTTATTGAAATTAAAACGTTTCTGTATTAAATCTTTCGTGAATATTGAAAAGACATTTTTTACCGAGTCAGCATTTTATTAATTTAACACACATTACGGTATTAGTTCTTCTCTAAACGTGACCGCGACAGTAGCGCAAACAACGCATATACGCATATAAAGTATGAATCGTAATAGTACATACAGTATGAACGTATACCGACATCATGGCGTCCGGGGTGTCAGAGACCCCGATGGGTTGGTGGCGCTTTCTGAATAAACTCATTAGGAACACGAACGTATTGATTCTATTACATCTGTGTGCCTCGATTACTATTTTATCCTTTTATTTATTATTTTACAAGTTTCGAAGCACTTTGGAACTTCCATCGATGGCTGTGATTAGTCGTCCCATATTGGCGTCCTTTCATTTCGACCAATCAGACACGTCGCTGTGTGAGCGAGTGCGTCGATTTGTGACGCAGTGCAGCATTCCTCTTCGAAGCTTCGTTCGTCTTGCACGTGTCTGCAACAGGTAAGATCAAATTATCTTCAAATATTAAATTAAATTGTCTTTCGGGTGTTGACAATACAAAAATGAGAAAGCATAGCCGAAGAGAAGTCTAGCTCTTTGTTTTTTGACATTAATTCGAGGTTATCTTTAAAAATATATGAATTGACATTTGTTGCTCTTGCCGTGAATTGACAATGAAGTTGGAAGAACAGAATCTGAATTATTTTCCCTTTATATCAATAATTTTTCGAGTATTATTGCATTTTTTCATGTTTTTAGTACATTTTTCCCGTAATTTATTGTTATATATCGTGATAATTGATTTTCTCGTTTTTTACTATTACGCCGATATATGTAGATACGAATTAAAATAACATTTCCTTCATTTATTCTGCATTTATATCAATAATTTCTTAAATCCCGTCAATATCTTATATTTTTTCTACTTTGTTTCTTATATTTTGGTGTTTAAAGTTGAGATAAAAAGTAATCTTGATTTTATTTCAATATGGCGTCGATAATTTTTAACGAACCTTTCCTTTACGATTAGTATTAAAGTTTCGAAGCACTTTGAAACTTCTATCGATGGCTGTGATTGGTCGTCCCATGTTGGCGTCCTCTCATTTCGACCAATCAGACACGTCGTTGTGTGAGCGAGTACGTCGATTTGTGGCGCAGTGCAGCATTCCTCTTCGAAGCTTCGTTCGTCTTGCACGTGTCTGCAACAGGTAAGATTAAATTAACTTCAAATATTAAATTATATTGTCTTTCGGGTGTTGACAATACAAAAAAGAGAAAAAATAGCCGAAGAGAAGTCTAGCTCTTTGTTTTTTGACATTAATTCGAGGTTATCTTTAAAAATACGTGAGTTGACATTTGTTGCTCTTGCTGTAAATTCACAATCTGAATTATTTTCCCTTTATATCAGTAATTTCTTGAACATTATTCAATGTTTTTCGTATTGTTTCACACAATTTGCTGTTTTTAATTTAATAACGTTTTTTCTTGAGCATCGTAATATTATTTCTGTTTAGACCTGTTCGTGTACTTCGTCAGGTATCGGCAGATAGGAGAATATACCGAACATTGTCGAGCATTGCCGAAGTGCCGACCGGTCTACGATGGGAAGGTAGGTCTCGCCATTGCTCTCTCGAGCGTCAAAGTGACAAGACGCGTTGAGCTCGTGCTCCCGTATACGCAGTACAAAAGTACGCATAGTCTACTTATTTAAATAATTTGAATAAATTATCGACTTCGATCGTTTGTTTATCTGTTGGTTAACTTTAATTTGCATAAATTTTTATTTTTTATTTGTTACAGATGAATTTTTTGATTTTGCCGAGTTTCTGGATATCCTGATGGCATTCTTCAGGACTTCCGTCTTGGACGTTGCTCCATGAGGAAAGAGTGTAAGTATCTTATTAGTTTACTTAATTGCTTTTTATTAAAATAGAATAATTTACAATTTCAACACTTGATAATTGAGATTTCTTTTCAATTGCTAGTATTTTATAAAATTCAACTTTATATATAATTTTATTACAATAAGAATAAGATAATTTTCAAAATTAACCGTAATTCTTTTTTTGTTACAGATGAATTTCTGGATTTTGTCGAGATCCTGGACATCCTTGATGGCTTTCTTCACGACGTCCGTCTTCTTCTACAAGGCAGCCTCCTACCTGGTGTTTGACTGTCGGAAGAAGAGTATATCTGCGAACGGTGAGTCGCATGTTTTATGGTTCCTCTGGTGCCCAATCATGTCGTAGGACGAATGGTCCGAATCGACACGGGTCACTGGTTGTATATGTGGTTAGCGAGCATAGTGACCATGGGTATAATTATACTCATGAGTAGTAATATTTTTATTGTTTCATTTCATTTAGTTCAGGCTAGGTCTTTTTGTACACCGCGTTTTAATATCATTTTAATTCCACATATTCCAATAGATATTTATGAAATATATGAATGCTCTTAAATGTTCTTAAATGTTTTTAAATGTGGAATATGAAATATTTTAATACAGAAATAATTTTATTTAGTTTTTATTCAAATCGATATAATATTGGTAATATAGTATAGTATGTATACTGAATATACATATTAATTATGATTTTACATTGATTTCATTACATTTTGTATATTGTAAATTCAAATATAATTTGAGACCTTTTTACGAGAAGTAAAGTTCAATTCATTTCGTGTAAAATTGAAGAATTTATGTGCAAGAAGACAATTCGTGACGGGTAGATTTCCAAGTCAGAGTGATCTATTTCAACACATTTTGCGTATTCTTGAAAAGTTACTCTGAGGAGGGAGTCGCCCGAGGATGTTTTAATTTTTTATTAATTTTCACAATATATTCTTTTTTCATTGCAAAGAATTTTTAATTAGTCATTTTGCTTTTAATAAAATATTAAATTCAATTTTGACATTAAATTCCTTTTTATTAGAGTTTTGTCTTTATTAAATTAGTGTTGCGAGAGTAAATATGACGATGCACTGACTAGTATTCGGTGGGAATCCTTTTGGTTTTTAAACTCAATCCTTTTTATTATTTAATTAATGAAATTAGTTAGAAGGATTCCGCGGCATAAGACCGTGAACACCATCTCTGGGAGATATACCCATGCATTACTAGGCCTTTGCAGGCGCAGCTTTAGAATAGGGAACATATGAAAATATGTTACCATATTCTAAACTGTAGTCCTTTTGTCTATACTATGGGCGTCCGTCAATCTGACACCGTTGGATGCAACGTGTTGGACGGGCGGGTAGCGCTCTTAGCGAAGGGGTGCACTCTGTCCTGGCGTTACGACGTCCAGGCGGGGTGGGTGGTATGTAGCGTCTGGCGCAAGTCTAGGGGGCGTGAGACCCTTCGTTGCCAGCTGATATTAGCAGTGCACCATGTTTGCGTCATAGTTGCTCAATTTTACTTTTCAGTATTTATTCTTAAAGCTTTACATTTACAAAGTCGAGTCACTTTTATTATATTAAAATAGTGAAATATTAGCCCGTTAGATGTTTATGTACTAATCATGTTTGTAGATCAGGATTTTCAGGTTTAACCCCTTCCGTGTTTATTGCCAAAGCCCATTCACGTGCCCAGGTGCTACTTGGATGGGTAGAGGCAATCGGCACGATGACCTAGTTCATAAGAATAATAATTAATAAGCGGCTGGCATTGTGTTAGTATATCGTGCACGACGTAATCTCCACATATGGTGTGTGTGTGTGTTTTTAGGCTGTGGGATTGCGTCGGTTTAATAACTTTTTCATTTACTTTTAATTTGAAATAATATTTTATTCAACAAGATGTACGATGAACGTATAAACCAAATACTATTGTTATCATTACTATTACCATTACTATGAAATATTCTATATCAAAGTAGTTAATTAAATTTTGTAATTATCATTATACGCAATGATTGCTAGCCTTGCCAGACGATTTCAGTGAAAAATGGTACGTACCGTAGAGTGTGATGTGAGATGAAACTCGGGTGACGGAGGCGTCCCGGGACGTTCTCCCTAGTTTAGGCTCTTGCGCCCGGGTGGAGTGTATGGGGGTCGTGGAATGAATTTTTGTGAGAATGTGATTTTGCCTTTTTTAAATATAGCGTTAGGTAGGTAGGTAGTATACCTTCTGGTGTGTGTGATAGATTGTAAGTAGGTAGGGCCGGGACAGGTTGTCACAGTCTCTTGGTCGGGTAGGCGCGATTTCGCGTGATCAACCTGTACCTGGAATATATTTGAAGAATTGACGATACCATCGATCCGAACGGAGTATGCCGTTCGTCTTCGATTCTATCTGCACAATTTTTCAAATTTTTGGCGACTTCATAAGTCGTCATACGCGATCGCGATTGTACGAAACGCACAAGTTCTGCTCGAGCACGGCACGTGTGCACGAACAACGACTTATATGTATAAAGTCCTTTTTCGTCCACGTGTCAATTAGAGTTTCGCGATTTTTCTTTTTTGTTGATTGCTTTTTTTTTTGTTTTGCGAATTTGCAAGTCTCGAGCTTTAGATATAAGTTTCAGGTGGGTGGACCGCCCGAAGAAAGAAAAGGCTATATGCCGAAGCGCCCCGACAAACTGTCTTTCAAGAGGGGAACTACTAATGATTTTGCATCTTTTTGCAAAAAAGGATGGGAAATCATTATCGTTACTACTTTGTCACTGTGCTCGCCTGTAGTTGTAGTTTTGTAATTTCAGGAGAAGAGGGGGCCCGTGACCCCCATGATTTTGGGCAAATCGCGTTTTCAATTTCGTGTTGCGAATTTAAAATATCGCGTTTCCTTTTTGCATTGCATCAAAATAGAATTTAACTTTTCAATGTTGATTGCTTTAGTGTTGCGAATAAAAAAATGTGCGGTTTGAGAATCCCCCTTTTTGCATTTTAATTGCATGTCTGTTAAAGATAGCGTTGCGAATGACATTAGCGCGATTGTTTCCCAGTGTTGCGACTTATAAATACGCGGTTGCTTTGCATTAGTTTATAGAGTTCCCTGCTAATTAGTGTTGCGATAATGAATATTTGCGGTTTGCGTTAGAGTTGCGATATACGATGAAATGCCCAAAAACGATCCAGCGGAGCTGCCATGGTCCATAAGGCAGCTATGGACCAGCTGCTGAGGTACAGTCTTGGATTGGCTGTACCACTTTTTTAGATTAGTGTTGCGTCTTACAAAATTCGGTAGATTTGAATAGAGTTGCGTTACAGTTTGCGTTTTTTCTTTTCTTTTTTTCAGCTTAGCGTTGCGCATATTGGAGCAGCCATCACGCGTATGCTTTTGTATTATATATGTATAATTAATGAAATTAGTGTTGCGAATAAATTCGCGATTGTTATTCAATTTTTCACTTTTTTGCATTCATTAAATTAGTGTTGCGTGTAATTTCGGTTTGTTTTATAGAATTTGCTTAGGGATTGCTCTTATGGGCAATCAAACTTTTCTTTTCAGGTTCCCCTGTACCCCCGCCCCGCCCCGCCCCGCCCCGTCACCATCTCTTTTTCTTTCCTTTTTCTAAGTTTGAAAACTTTGAACATGAACCGGTTGTTGGAAATACTGTTAAATAATATATGAGTTTCATGTTTTCAGAGTATTATTAAATACAATAGAGTTTTAAATAGAACTTTATTCAAAGTTTTATTTAAAATGAAAATTATTATTTAATTATTATAAAATTATTTCAAGGAAGATTCATTTGAAATATCTTATTAAATTTTAATTCTACTTTATTTAAACAAAAGTAATGGATAATTGTTGTTCGAGTTGCTCAGTTTTAATTTTAAAAGCTAATTAAATTACTTTTATAAATTTTCAAATTCTTTTCCTCAAAAGCAAAGTCCACTCTTGATTTTCTTTTCAGTTTTTCAATAAAATTTTATTGTTACTAATGTATCTTCTTTCCAGCTATTAATTTTTCTTTGTCTTTGTCTGGATTCAATTAATCAGTTTCTGTTACAGAGAAATATCTTTATAGGAAGTATGAAATAATAATATCGGATAATCGACTGGAAGAAATGTAATATAAAATCTAGCGTCCATAAATGGAATTCAATTAAGAATCCAATTAAGTAAAACAAGGTGAAAATGATTGAAAATCGTACTATTTTCAAAAATTGTATTTAATCCTTTTCTGTTTGTTTCAGGCAAATTGTAAATTTATGATTAAGGCTACACGAGTCTCATTATTTTCTTAAATTTTGTTTAATCCTTTTTAGTTTTATTTCAGGAAGTATTCTGGTGAGGACAACAAAATCAACAAATTCATTGGACTTATTTATGTATATTTTTTAAGCGAATTTTTAATATAATTACGAGCGCTCGTATATGTAGCTATTCTTAGTAGTATAAGTATGTAGGACAAATATGCAATTGCATATTTATTAATTACAGATCTGTAATCAAAATCAAAATTAAAAAATGTTGCGATAGGAATAAAAAGCAAAAATCTACGTACATATATGTATAGATAAGTAGATAGGTAGGTAGTGAATAGAAACAATGCTCCTTTTGTTGTTCGTTTGCACCACAGTCGAAACGTTTTGCAAATGTGCACCAAGAGGATGATGTTATTGAATAAAGGTAAAAATTTGCATAAATGTAGGGCGGGTCTCCACCTATTTGATGGATTATTAATAATTACATCATTATTTCAATGGTAGACTTATTAATTATGCAGCAAATAATACGAGCGAATTGGCTGCGGAATTTATCCTTTTTATATTTTTTTCAGGAACAAATAGGGAATTTTACGGAAAGAAAATTAATAATAATGAATGCATGGTCAGTATTGTTTAATTATGTACTTATACATATAGCATACATGTGTCATTTAGGTATTTCCGAAAGGTAACGTAGTATAGCATGTTAGTTAGTTGGATGCAATAATTCAGGTGGCGCTTAAATCCGCAAACATGGCCTGTTTTACCGATGCGGAATTCGGATATGTGGTAGTCGATAAATTGTCGGGTAGGTTCCACTGCTTTCCGATGGGTGATGCCAAAAGTTATAGCTACCGCGCAATCAATTTGTAACTCTTTCACCTGCGGAGAAAAATAAGGAGAGCCAAATAGAAAAATAATTTATTTAATCGCACACATCAATATATAAAATATGCTAATCGCTAAATACTTAAACTATTATTAAGGCTGAATAAATACTTTAGAAAAACGTACAACGATGCTCAGCCAACAGTGGTTCAGACAAGAAAAAGGTTTTGCTTTGCGGAAAGAACTCCACCTACGACGGAAATAGGTGTCGCTTAAAATTATGCGGTAAAGAAATTTATTGAAAATGTATTACCTTATAATAGATTACAATTTATAGGAAAATACTATAATAGATAGGAAAGATACACGAAAGCATACCAAATACCAAATAACAAATTTCAATTCATCTATGATAAATAATAAATCTTTAAAATGAAATTATTTAAACGTTGAACTGAACTGCTTTTATATCATTAAGAGTTATGAAATAGTTGAAAAAAGCTGGTTGTCTTTAGTTTTTAGCGATCATCAGGATTCAATCTCTTGGCGCCTATGGACTTTGGTGTCACGTTACAGAATTGTAAACAGAAATTTAGTCAACAAAGACAGATTCTATATCTAATTTGTCTTCTGTGATTCTTCTGTTCGTGATGTGTGTAGAATATAATTGGAAATCATATATGGTTAATAATTAAAAATTCGGTAATTTAAAACGCAAGTGAATTCTTTTGTTTCTCGTAAGTTGTAGACAAAGAGTTTACATAGGTACGTTCTTAATTCTGTGTCTTATGCATGAAAGCTGCGAAAAGAATCATTAAATTATCATGGTTAACAAAGGAGATACGTTAGTAAGTATCCAACATCTTTTTAATATATATTTCCCATATAGAAAATTAATTTGTACATCCGTGTTAGTTGAAGAAAGAAAGGTACCTCGATGCATTGTTAAAGGAAGGGAAAAGATGTTTAGCGATGATGCAGGAAATGTATGACTGTTGTAAAACAGAGTCGAATCTGTATAAGAAACTGTTGTTTGCGATGGATCGCTATTCACGAGTAAGTTCGAAACATAAAGTAATGTTTATACATATACATGTATCTACTAATTTTTTGTGTTTACTACTTTGAAAAAAAAAAATTGATTGATTGTAGTATAAAACACAAGTAAGAGAAGATATGGAAGAATTGAAGGAAATGTTTGAAGAAATAGATGACATGGTAGACGAGGATGAAGAATCAGATGAGGAGATAGATGACGAAGATGACTTTGTACCGATAGAGCTGGAAGACTTTGAAGAACAAAACGTAGAAGAAGAAGAAGAAGAAGAAGAAGAAGATTTCGTGCTCGAGGAACAAATTCGATACTTTCATAACATAATACATCGAAAGAACGCCTTAGCAAATCTGGAAATGATACTTTTACGGTTGCTCGATATAGACGCAAAGCTAATGAGTCTTCAATTGTCGATATATTCAAAGTTAAAAATTTATTTGAAAGAATATTGCGGAAAAGTGAGAGTAGTTCTGAAACGTAGTGTAAATTTCATGAAATCCGTGAATAATTTTAAGGGGAGACAGTTAGCCCAGAGGACTCTGAATAAATACAGGAAGCTGCAACAACTTTTAACTGATCTTATAGAGGTAAGATTAATTATGTATAAAGATGTTTTAACGGGAATGCTAAGAAATTTCACGATTTTCAAATCAGGTAATAACATGTATATCGAATTTCTGTTCTTTTAATATAGAAACAAACGTTTTTTGACGGAATCAAGATGCAATTAAATGCAAATAAAACGAGCAAAGAGAAAGGAATCAATGAAATTTCTATAATGTAATATATTATAATGTAGTATCGTTGTGGGAAAGAAAATGAATTTATTTTTCTAATTACTAATATTTTTATCTTATGCAAAGATCATGTAACAACGCCTAAGGAATAATCGTAATCGTAAATGTTTGAAATATAAGGAGTCTCTAATACGTGGTTAGCGACATTAACGAAACCCAGTATGTAGTAATATGTATCTGTTCTTTATAAATGGCTTACGCCTGCCAACGCATTTGTTCTCTCGGAAAGTGGTCGAAGAAAGGGTAGAAACTTTCAGACTGTTTAAATAATAGAGGTGATGTGAGAAAGATTATAGGTGGACGTAATATAGGAAAAGGAAGCCTAGGAAGATCATCGATTAATACGGGTATCGGTTCTTACGTTGAAGAAAATTTTCTAAACAAGCTATCTATCCGCTGCAACACGAAAAGGTCGCACGATGACAGGACGCTGAATGGATTCGGAAGCCGTTGGAAGATCGGCACGTCACTGGTGGTGCTCTGCTGGTATATAAAACGAGGCTGTTCTCCGTGTCGATTCAGTCGTTGAGATTCACTCGGCAGCAGAATCTGTCGTATTCGATCAACGTACTCAAGATGGTGGTGAACTTTAAGGTGTTCAAGAAATGTTCACCAAACGGGAAGATCGGGCTGTATCTGGGCAAGAGGGACTACATCGACTATCTGTCTGGAATCGAGCCAGTGGACGGTGTAATCTTGCTGGACCAGGACTACGTGGACACAGGTAGAAAGGTCTGGGGACAGCTGATCTGCAGTTTTCGATACGGTAGAGAAGAGGACGAGGTGATGGGCCTGAACTTTCAAAAGGACCTTTACCTGATCTCCGAGCAACTGTTCCCACCGACCAAGAAGATGGAGGAAAATTTAACGAAACTGCAAGACAGACTACTGAAGAAACTGGGACCGAACGCTATACCGTTCACCTTCAAGTTTCCTGCGAGTGCACCATCCAGCGTAACCTTGCAACCAGGCGAAGTGGAGACAGGCGAACCTTGCGGAGTCAGCTACTACGTAAAAATCTATTCGGGTGAGATGGAGACCGATATTACTCATAAGAGGAGTACGATCACGATGGGCATCAGGAAGATCCAATACGCGCCTACGAAACAGGGTCGGCAGCCTTGTACCGTTGTACGCAAGGACTTCCTTTTGAGTCCAGGTGACCTGGAACTCGAGGTGACCCTGGACAAACAATTGTACCATCACGGCGAAAGAATAGCGGTAAACGTTTGCGTACGAAACAACAGCAACAAGGTGGTGAAGAAGATGAAGGCATTGGTGCAGCAGGGTATCGACGTGGTAATATTCCAAAACGGTCAGTTCAGGACGGTGATCGACGCGGTGGAGACCCAAGACGGCTGTCCGATTAATCCAGGCTCGAACTTGACCAAGGTGCTATATTTGAAACCACAGCTGGAAAACAACAAGCATCGCAGGGGAATCGCTTTGGACGGTAGATTGAAGAGGGACGAGAGCGAGCTGGCATCTAGCACTTTGCTCACCTCTCCTGATGTTCGCGACTCTTTCGGTATCGTCGTCTCTTATGCCGTCAAGGTGAAACTTTATCTTGGAGCACTGGGCGGAGAATTGTCAGCAGAGTTGCCGTTCATTTTGATGAGGCCGAAGCCTACGGAACGAATCAAGGTGGTAAACGCGGACAACATCGAGGTGGAGGACACTACGGAGGAAAAGAAGCCCATCGTTTAAATACCTCACCTCTTTCAATCGGCCAAGTCGATTATGCTGATTTTCTCATTTTCACGCTATTCGATCGTCTTGAAACTTTAGTCAATAATTTCACATTCGTATGGATCTAGATGGTGTATTTTAGAGATCGAAAAGAGTATTAATCACGATTGTTGCAGGCAATAAACGACGCTCCCATGTATAGAAAAAAAAAGAAAGAAAAAGAAAAAGAAAAAGAAAAAGAAAAAGAAAAAAAAACGAAACTCAGTTTGTTTCTGCAATAGTTGAGCTGAGCTGCAATTATAATATTCCCTAGAATAAAATATCTATGTTATCCTACTATGTACAAGATTATATTGTACGTACACACATTCCGTTTCTTTTTCCAGTCCATCTTTGAATCTTCGAATTAGCCGAATAAAGAAATGTTGAAATATTTAGATTATTATTCATTTTGAAGTCGCGTTTTCTTCCGCCTCGCCTCGCTTAGCCTCGAGGAACGAGTTACGCATAGTATCGTAATCGGCACGATCGTTCCACCTCCATATATCTCGCGATTAATCAAACTCGAAGGGATAAAAGGGATTATCCAGAATTTCGAAGAAAAATGATACGCAAGTACATACATATATGTATACATAGATATGTAGGTAAAGTTCGTAAACGACGCAAAGAAAAGGTAATACGTGAAAAAAAAAAAAAAAAAAAAAAAATGAAGAGGAACGAAGCGGAGGACGAAGGTCTATTTTCGTTGGAAGGCCGCACAGGTATATCTTGGCTGCGACAAATCGAAGGACACGAGGACGCGCAGATCCTCGCGTGGAAGGTCCTGAGAAGGGCAGCCGACGATACCACCCTGTGGGTGTTAGTTAAGAATGAGAGAAAACGAGTAAGGAAATCCATCGTCAGAGGAAGAAAGGCAGACGTAGCGACAGACGGAATGGTAGGGAATAGAGGATCGAGATGGAGGTAGATGAGCAGATAAAATTAAAGGGAGATGTAGGGATAGAAAAAAGAGAAGAGTGAAGAAGAACGAGATAGGGATAGGGATATGTATACAATATACAAGATAAATAGATAGAAGGTTAGAGAAAGAAAGAGGGAGATGGAAGAAGAAATGCAGAAACGGAGTACATAGTCGGTGGTAGCGATGGGTTCGAGTACTTCTCGAGTAGATAAAGATAAAAATGAAATAATTTCTTTGGTTCTGACGCAAATAAAAAAAAAAAAAAAAAAAAAATGTTTACGATAAAAAGAAGAAAGTAATGAAAATTGTTATTAGTATTATTTAGTATGTTTTAGAGAAGTTAAAACAAGTATTTGCCAATGTTCAACTCCATTGCTAGAGTCGGTGGAGAGATCGAAGGAAGAGCGAGAGGTCGAAGAAACACGTACATACATACTTAGAGAGTGGAGAGGAGCGGCGAGAGCAGAAGAAAGAGACGGACAGAGGGGATAGGCGTAGGAGCGATAAAGAGAGGAAAGTGGGGGTTCGGGCGGTCCGCAGGCTTGGCTGGTGCGTCAGTCAGGCTCGAGACACCCGCGTGAACGGAGCGGTGGTTGCCTCCCTTATTCGGTACGTACGTTCGATGCGCCCCCTCCATCAGCCCTTTGGCCACCTAACAAGAGTTTCGTTTCTCAAGGCAGTGTCGCGCTGAGTGTCGTACTGGCCGTATTGCTTTCTTCTCCTTTTAGATACATCATTTTCCGGTGTTTTCTAGTTCGGGTATCCGTAACACCCCCTTCGTGCATTCGATTTTGTGCAGCGTTTCAAGCATTTCCCAGAAGAGGAGCTACGCAGAGAAGCGAGAGAAAGAGGTAGAAGGTTCTTCGCCCGTTTACACCATCGAGACCTATTCGAGAGGAATTCGAGGCGAAAGGAGGACGAAGACAGTGAGGACTACGCTACGCTAACAGCCGAGTGAGTGTAAATTTTACTATGGGGTTGAATTTTCCTATGGTGTCTGTGTAACAGACACCGGTGAAAACTCACCGATACATGGCACGGCGCGGCGCGGCGCGGCGACGAGTTTCTCTTCTGTACCCGCGGCAGACGGTGGCATTGATTTCCTTCTCCTCTCCTCTCTCGCCGCCCGTTCGCCCTTTCCTACCTATGCACCCATGCACCCATGCACGGCACGGATCCTGATCTCGTCATCATCTGATTTCCTTTCGCAATTTTTATCAACCAGTCTCTTGCAACACTAGCATTAGGTAGTTTGAAAGAATTGGCGAAAAAGTGTCTTCTTTCTCTTTGATACACGCGGCGAACAAGGTAGGTACCTATACGTATAGGTAGTTATATAGGTAGAAGAGAAAGAATGGTAGAGGGCAAAGAAGGAGGAGTAGGAGGAGGAGAACTGGAGAACTGGAGAGAAAGGATCGTTTGGGAAGATGGTGGGCGGAGGTTCGTTGTTCGCTCGCTTAAATATTTGCTCGGAAGCGTTCCCGATATAATACGCACCACTGTTATCGTTACTTTCTTCTCGAAGGAAGATTCTTTCGATTCTCTCCGTTTCGGAACGAAAAGCGTCGTATTATACATATAGGTATTTACTTGCGTATAGGTATAACGAGTTTGTTCGACGAAACTCTGGCAACCTTGAACGCGCCGCGGTCTGGAACTCGGTTCGAACCTGGTCCCGGCTGGTTCAGGGGCGTCGCGAAACCCGGCCACGCATGCATTGCCTTATGACTTTTTTCTCCTTTAACGAACCCCAAAATCGTTACCAAATCGTGAAAATTTCGATATGTTAATCAAGATTAACCGTCGAAAATGATGTCTATTGTCGAGATAGTGTTGCTTATAAACAAACTACCGTGTATGTTACATATACATACGTTGGTTGTTCCGTCTTCTCGCACGCGCGTCTGTTTACCGGTGCTCCAAAAGCGAGAGTGTTTGCTTTCAACGAGCGCCGAGCGTTTCAACGGGGAAGAGAAAGAGCGGCGGTAATCGCGAGATTGAAAGGGATCAAGGTCTTGAAAATTATTTTTTACCTAGATGTTTAACGTATTCGAGCAAATTAGCACCCTTATTAGGTATTTATTATACACTGATTATGTAGGTACATCGAATATACATATAGAATAATAGAAATAACTGGAACGCGTTACTTACAATTAGAGATATACGTGTTCAGGTATAATTGGTTATGATCGAAGCTGGAAGGAAAGCGAGGGACACGAATCGTCGACCTCGAATGGCCTGATGCTTTCATACCGTATTAGTCACACGTACCCGACCGAATGAATATTTCAACGTTACAAACGTGCACACCGTTTTTCCACGTCTGCGAAACGGCTCAATTTAAAGATACTCTCGCGGCTAAATGATACCATCCGCGATGGTTCGTGGCAAAACATCGACCCGCATCGATTTCACTCGCTCCTACCCGCCTTGGTTTCGCGCGAACAACCATTTCTGCTTCGATCTCGTTCAGAACCTTAGTCACCTCTAAACCGTTCTCATCGTTGTCGTCCCAGTTGTCGTTCTATGGCTTCTGTTGCCAATTTAACGACAACATTGTCGCGTCGTGCCCCATGTAGCCAGCCAAGTGATTTAAACGAACCTACCAATCGTTACCAATCGAGCCAAGTTAACAACACCTGAGTTATCACCTGAAACAGTTGCGTGGCCCACCCTGTAAATGTACATATGTATATGGGACGATTGCAAATTTTCCGATGGGTGGTCGAGACAGATGAAAATATACGCTGGAGACGAGATAGACGTGATAAAGGTTGAATTATATTGGACTGCACGGAGAGAGGGCAGCTGCTATCGATAGACCGACGATGAATATGAGTTATTGAACGTTCGCGGTTGGAACGTGATCAAGAAAGCTCTTTTACAATCGGACTGCTTTTCAGACAAATCGAACTGCTGCTGCTGCTGCTGTCCTTGAAAGAAATTCAATTTGGACATTTGATTTTCAGCTTTAGGAAAAGTTCAACTTCAAATGGGATTATTTGAATTTTTTTTTTCTCAGAGAATCTATCTTTAATATCGTGGGGAAGTTAGGAAGGAATTTCAGCTTGAATTCCCATAAAAATCATGAAAGTATAATGACAAGACTTTCATCGAACACATTATCTTGGATTAGCCGTTCGACGTTAATTGTAAACAGACTTGGCGGACGTGAATGTGGGAGGAAGATCTTTAGAATTATATCACAAAGAAACGATCCGAGCAATCGTGGTAATCTTTCTCATGAATCCGGTACCACCAAAGTCTCTGTTGAGACTTGATTTATTCGAGGCAAGTAGAATGGAATGCGCTATTAATTTGCACGGAGGACTTTTTAGTGAGTTACTCTTACTTTGGAGTACATTTCCTCTGTTAACACCAACGCGACGCTATTGTCGAGTCGAACCTTTTTATCAGCCGCGTTCGTGCGGTTTTCTCGTTGCTCTATTTTCAAGTCGATGAATCACGGATTGCGTTCGTCACAACTGATATACATATAAGTATTTCCTTTGCTCCCATCACGATTTACTGTTATATTCTTATTAGGAAAATTAGCGTTATGGTCGTCGCCCAGAAGAAAGTTAGCGAACGTTTATTATCCAAACAGTCTTTTATCCCTCAACGTTATTAAGTAAATACAATTGTACGGTATCTCTACAAGAGTAAAGTGTCTTACCGGTCTTATCATTGAACAGAAGGTTGCTTAAACAATAAGTAAAGTAATCGCCAGTGTTAGGATAATCCTTGTTTAACGTTTGACGGGGTTCAATTTCACTGTCTCGAAATAAAGGTTGCGTAATTGCCGGAAGTTAGGGAATATTCTTGGAGTGGTGTTATCAAAAACACAGTTGAGTGGTATCCTGACGAGATATCGTTGCATCCGTACTCGTCGTGTCGGAGTCGAAGGAAAGAAATGGATTTTTCCGAAGCTTTCGGAGGAAAAACGATGACTGTCACGCGTGCGTCGCATTATGCTAACGACTCTGCATACCTCGAACTCGGAGATCTCAACGAGCGATAAAGCAGTCACGGTTGCTGATAGTAACCGTAGCAATTAGAAAACTAGGGAATACAAATGGAACGTTTCTTTTCTTTTCTTTTCTTTTCTTTTTTATATATTCCTATTATTATCTTCTTTGAACGAGTTTCCGAATTGGAACGCGTCGGATACAAGTCAATCAACAAGATAAGCTGAATAAAAACATGGAATTGATTTAAGAACAACTACGTACAACTACGAATGATCGTAGAACCGACACAGCAAGAGGTCAATCAGATGATTATCTTCCAACGAGAAATTCAAATCGTTTATTCTTCTCGTTTGGTAGAGAACATTCTGAGAAAAGGTCAGATACAGTACGAAGGTGTAACAGCAAAGTTAGAGAGGTAAAATCTCCATTGAATCACGCGATATTGTATTGGTGTATCCAATTAGGTACTACCGCGTAACTATGTATGTAGTTCTTTTTTCTTTCATGAGCAACGATGAAAAAAATGGAATGTTTCAATTCGAAAGCTTTTAATGTCTAATAAATTACACTCGTCTCGACGTTTCCTCTTGCTTTCTTTTCTCTCTTTCTCTCTCGTATGCAATTTGCCACGGAAGCATTAATGCAACGCCTACACGTGTGTGAGATCATTTAAATTACTCGGACGACTCGCTTCCCAATTATTCTTCTGCTTGTCTGTCGACAAACTTTGTTCCCTTCCTTTCTTTCTTTCTTTCTTTCTTTCTTTCTCTTTTCGAATCTCTTGATTTTCATCGAAACACGAATTTGTCCTCTCGCGGTCGTAAAGTGCAATTTGCACTTGGAATTATTTAGCTACCTGCTAAATCTATACTAATACAATTAGAATGACAAAGAGAATGACTAATTTTTAAATAATTGCAGAATGAAAACATCGCTTTCTCCTAAAGTTGTCACGTGTTGCACCGGTTCCCAGGTATTACCAAAAATGTCAGTGTACATACACTAGATTTTGACACTCGGCCAACTACGAACGAGTCAGATCGTAAATCTAAAAGGTTGTTTGACGTCAGGTCTTTTGCGTATACATGTAATACGTGAAATGTTCAGGCTGAAATAGCATCTAGATTATTCACGCAGCTGGCACGACTTTTTTTTTTCTTTTTTCTTTTTTTTTCTTTTCGAAAGATTATTATCAAAGCACATGGTGCACCCACAGCTAACGCCTTGTGCCTAGTTTTTCGAAACCGTTTCGTTTTCATCTCTATTTATATGTATCAGTTTCGGATAATATTAAATTTATCAAGTTGATTAGATGAAGTTTCATATGGATATTTGTCAATTGACAGAACGACGTTTACAATTCCGACTTCCTGTTCTTAAGGCTACACTGGAGAATTGAATTGAAGCAAGCGAGTGACTCAATCGGTTACAACTGGCGATAGCGATTGATGAATTGTATTGGACGCGTTTACGACTGACGACCAATTTATCTTATCCGCGTGTAGTATCGAGTGCATTCGAGAGATTTGAAATGTTGAAGGTGGAAAAGTTTCCGTGATGAAATGTCTTGAAATCAATGACATAGATCGTTTTCAATATCTGATGGTTTCCTTTGGTTAATACGAGATTGAACACACTGTCGTTAGTCTCGTTCTCTGGGCGTCACGTGGAAACGAAGGAATCCAATATTGTTGACTAGAGTGAAAAGAGGATATCAGAGTTCCCTTAATGTCATTAGAGCTTCGTCATATGGCTTCTGAGCCGTCGAGATACCAGCTGGATACCACCAATTACCTGAAACTGCTGAACTCGTTCTCTACTTTTCGACGTAGTTTCAACTAGGTCAATCGTTTAACAGTGACACACTACTTCAAGACTACATGTTTTAATGTCCTTTGCTTTGCAAGTGAAATGATTTGCAAGTGAAAAGGGTTCAATCGACTTTTCTGTCAATTCTTCATTGTACATATGTACTCGACG